CTCCAAGACAGCTATTCGGTCGGTTTCGTATCCGAGTTTTCCAGTTACCCCGGCGTTATGTCCAGTGACCTGTTTGCGGGAATATGAAATTTGGATGAGTGCACATCGTTTGGTTTCGTCCCCTCAGCCCTTTCTCTTGGTTCGTCAACCGTTTGCCCCTGTGTTCAGCACTACCTTTGCTCGTTGGGTGAAATGGGTGATGTCGCTGGCTGGTGTGTATACGTCCATCTTTAGCGCCCACTCCTCGCAGGGGGCATCAGCCACGTCTATAGTGGCTTCGGAGGTGTGACTGGAAGACCTGATTAGTATGGCGAACTGGTCCCGTGAATCCACTTTTCGTGAGTTTTACTTTCGGCCTCCGCCTCACGTTTTCTCTTCTGTTATTGATCAGCTTTAAACTTGCAATATGAGCCTCCGTGTCTTGACATAAAATTACATGATTTTGCTATTTCGTGACGAAAAGTCATGATTTTATGAGAGACACGGAGGCGAGTATTGTCCCACCCTTTTACATTTCTTACATTTTATTAACCCCCCTCCCCCCCTGTTGTTTTTCTCTCTAAGCTATGTTTCCAGGGGATGGTAGGTATTTGTGATGTGCTCTGTGTTATATTACCTCTTATGTGCATCTGAACTGTTAATTTTTATGTTTTGTCTGGTGGATTTTGTCTTACTCTATGGGCACTGTGTTGCTTCAGTCTATCAATATATTATGTCTTGGCATGCGCAATTTGATTTAAGTACCGATTTAACCATTTGGCTCCTTTTTTTATGTTTTCACAGGTTGATTTTGTGCTGATTCTGTGCTGTTTGGGAGATCTTCACTACTTCCCACAAGGCTTCACCACGTTGGCTGGAGGTCTATGGATCATGCTGTGATGTGCTCCTCACTGGTGGCGTTTCTCTATTCGTTGATGGTTTAGTCCCAGTTTGCTTATGGTTCCTGATTCGGTGTCCAGCTGGATTTCGGGATGGTTGTTCTGCTGTGGTTTTGACTGATTCATTGGTTTATGTTTGCTGGTTATTGTGTCGCATCTCCAAAGAAAGAGGAAATATGTGGGGTGGTGCTGACTATTATACTGGGACTTGGTATGGGAGTGGTCTATCACTATGCTTACCATTTTTTCTTACTGTTTGTACAAAGGCTGTGGGGGCAGGGTGTGGTGGTCACAGTGTGGGGGTTGGGGTGTGAAAGAGACAGTGGTGGGAGGCAGGATGTGAGTGTAACAGTGGTGGGAGGCAGTATGTAAGGATGACAATGACAGTGGTGGGGGGTAGGGTGTGAGGGTGATAATGACCATGTGGGGGTGACAGTGGTGAGGGGCAGGATGTGAGGGTGACAATGTGGGGGTGACAGTGTAGGGGGCAGGATGTAAGCATGACAGTGTGGGGGCAGGATGTGAGGGTGACAGTGTTGGGTAGCAGGATGTGAGGGTGACAGTGGTGGGGGCAGTATGTGAAGATGGCAGTGTGGGGGTGACAGTGTAGGGGGCAGGATGTAAGGGTAAAAGTGTGTGGGGGAGGATGTGAGGGTGACAGTAGTGGATGGCAGTGTGTGGAGGTGACAGTGGGGGTAGGATGTGAGGGTGATAGTGGGGGGCAGGGTGTGAAGGTGACAGTGTCAGGGTGACAGTGGGGGGCAGGATATGAGGATGACAGTAACAGGGTGACATTGGGGGGCAGGTTATGAGGGTGACAGTGGTGAGGGGGGTATGTGAAGATGGCAGTGTGGGGGTGACAGTGTAGGGGGCAGGATGTAAGGGTAAAAGTGTGTGGGGGAGGATGTGAGGGTGACAGTAGTGGATGGCAGTGTGTGGAGGTGACAGTGGGGGTAGGATGTGAGGGTGATAGTGGGGGGCAGGGTGTGAAGGTGACAGTGTCAGGGTGACAGTGGGGGGCAGGATATGAGGATGACAGTAACAGGGTGACATTGGGGGGCAGGTTATGAGGGTGACAGTGGTGAGGGGCAGGATGTGAAGGTGACAGTGTGAGGGGCAGGGTGTAAGGGTGATATGGGTGACAGTGGGAGGGCAGGGTATGATGGTGACAGTGTCAGGGTGACAGTGGGGGGGCAGGGTGTGAGTGTGACAGGGTCAGGATGACAGTGGGGGGCAGGGTGTGAGGGTGACAGGATGGGCAGGGTGTGATGGTGACAGTGGGGGGGTGTGATGGTGACAGTGTCAGGGTGACAATGGGGGGCAGGGTGTGAGGGTGACAGTGTCAGGGTAACAGTGGGGGGCAGGGTGTGAGTGTGACAGTGGTGAGGGGCAGAGTGTGAGGGTGACAGTGTGAGGGTGACAGTGAGGGGATAGGGTGTGAGGGTGACAGTGGGGGGGGCAGTATGACAGTGGCAGGGTGACAGTGGGGGGAAGGGTGTAAGGGTGACAGCGACAGGGTGACAGTGGGGGCAGGGTATGAGGGTGAAAGTAGAGGGGGCAGGGTGTGAGGGTGACTGGGGGGGTAAAGGTGGTGAGGGGGTGATAGGCTGTGAGGTTGGGCAGGCTGTGGGAAGGCTGTGATCAGCCTCCCCACACTCACATACCTTGTTTTTCAGTGCTCCCCATTCCCTGGTGGTCCAGTGGCTGGCTCTACAGTTCTGCAGCTCCGCCAATTAGAGCATTGCAGTGGTAACCAACGGCAATGCTTTGGGAGTTCGCAAGCCCTCCATCACATGATCTGCAGCTCTGCAATCGGCGGAGCTGCAGTCCGGAGACGCTCACTGGGCAGACTGATGGAGGGGCCCGGCGGCACACAGGGCAAGCCGCCAGTCCCCCTCCTGGTGCCGAGCCCTCGGTCACTGACCGATGACCCTACTGTTTAGTCTGCCCCAAGGTTTAGAGAGCCACCTCTGCTGAATATGTATGCAGCAGAGGCGGCCCGGGGCAGCAAAATGCTGCCCCTGTTAAAGTGCCGCCTGGGGCCATTGCCCCAGTCTGTCCTATGGATGGGCAGGCCCTGGACACACTCACACACTGACAGACACACTCACACATTTACACATTCTTGCACACACACTCACAAATTAATTTCATTTCTTGTTTTATTTTATTTTTTTAGTCCCATCCAGCCTCCATACCTTTAGAAGAGCTGGCTTGGATCGTTTTCCTCGGATCAAGTGACAATTTTCTCTCTGGGGTCCAGTGGGGAATGGATCTTCTAGTCTGCTCCACCATCCTCCCCTTGTAGTGATGCTAGGCCTGGAGTGACGTCATATCCCAGCTACCGGCATCACTACAGAGGGCGCATGAGGGAGCAGAGAAGAACTGAAAACACGTAATCAAAGCTCCTTCGCTGCCCTCCTCTTCTCCTCTTCCCGCTTTGGGTTTTTCGGCTGGTCCCCCTTTGACAGCCACTGACCCACTTCTCGAGTGCCCCCCCCCCCCCACCTTCTGGCGGGTGCCGCAAGGAGTTATGCGCAGATCCATACCCTTTCTGCACTCCCTCAAAAAGGTGTGTGCATGCATAGTTGTGCCATACATGTTGGCAAGTGCAATGTGGTCATATAGGTATGTTTAATGTGTAATTCATAAAGGGACACTATGGTCACCAGAACATCTACAGCTTAATGTAGTTGTTCTGGTATCTACTGCCCATCCCTGAAGGCTTTTTAATGTAAACACTGCATTGTATGGCAGCAGACCAAAATTTTGCAGGGCCTTTGCTAGCTCAGCATTGTATGGGTTTGCGCATGGGCTGGTGGCCTGTGCTCTCATTGTTCTCCAGACCCGGACTGACCCATTGAGATACTTCCTGGTGAGCTATGGTATCGAAGAATGAGCAGGCTACTTATTTACCTACATATTACTATTCTTTAATTACGATATAACACATTTCATTGTGGCCGATCCAGGAGTGTATTAATGCAATGTGGCTCACATGGCCCTGTTTGCTTGAGAAGTATGCATGCGCCTTTCAACGTTTGACTATAGTTATTCCTGTACCATTGTGAGTTTATTGAGTACACATATATATCTCAGTACCGCAATGCTGGATCTGCATTGGTTTCTGTTCTCTACTAAAATATAACCACATAACATGGGTACTGTAATTTCACTTGAGCTGTTACAATGGTATAGAAGGATAGAACGAGTGAAGTAGAGGTATAGAGGAGGGGGAGAGAGATTAATGTGAGGGTTGTGATTATGCATTAATTTCAACCTTTTGAAATGAAAGTCAGGGGGTGCATGTGTCCTTGATATCTGACCACTAGGAGCAGCTTTAATAGTTTTTGGTCTAATGTCGTTGAGCTGTTTTGGGTTTATAGACTGGAGCTTTCGTAGGGTATTTGCTATCCATCTTTGATAGTATTTGTGGGTTAATTTGTCCCAGAAACCTGGTGTTTAAGAATCCTAATGTCTTACTGTCCTTGTTAGTTATCCCCCTTAGATTATACATCAGGAGTTTTACATCAAGTTCTATCAATGAGTTATAATAGTAATAACAAGCTGTGAATGACAAGTTATAAACCCGGCTGTCGAGACTTTGAACATTTTTGGCATTAAGAGTGAGGTTAGTCCTCTAGCTGCCAGAATTTTTTAACAAAGACAGACATTTTCGTATTAAGAATCCCAGCGAGTACTCTCTTTTTTGGTCGATATATTTTGTCTGGAGTTTGCACCGTGGCAAGTTTATTGACTGAGATTATTGTCAAGTGCAAAGCTTCTGTAATTATATATACATATAAAACTTGAGATATGCAGAACAGTAATTATGTGTGTTTGCGATTTATTTACTGCCATACTGCAAACAGAAGAACATTGCTGTGTTTAGACTGCCAACAATTAAATGTATTAACCCTTTTCAAAACTAGCCCCCTAGTATCTTTTTGATAATTAGTATGATCACTGGTCCTCTCACAACCACCAAAGACTACTTAGTTATGATCTTCATGAGCTTGTGAGGCATATCAGCGATATGTACTGTAATGTGCTGTGTGTGCTTGCTTGGAGTGGGAGGAGGCTGTGTGTGTATAGTGTGGGCTGTGAGCACCAGTCAGTGACTGTCTGTCTGCATTGCACAGGGGAGGAGGAGGAGGGAAGGAAGGAAGAGCAGCAGGAGGAGGAGGTGATATGTTGCAGGCTGCCAGATGCTGGCTTGCATTGTTGATCTGCTGCTGAAATACTTGGCTGCATTCTCGTGGGTTCTGTTGTCATGCAGACAGTCATCATGATGTGGCAGACAAAGGTCCAGGTCCATCTATTCTTCTAGCAAATGGAACTCCACCTATTGAGACAGGAGCATCCTCCCAAGACATCTCCCTAATTTAGAAACCTCTGCAACAGCTAGCAGGAGGGAGAGGGATCTTGAGGTGGGTGCCTTCATACAATACACATTGACACCACAACACACCATGGCACAGCTGCAGTGGTTTCTTTTCCACTACCTAACACACCTAGGCTAACATACATGGCTATTGGGTTGTTTATAAGTAAGCTATTATTATGCGTGTAGCCACGCCTTGTGTGCTTTTGGTGTACCCTAGTCAGGAGGTATCTGCAAGTCCCAGCAGAGCTAGTGGGAGGAGGCTGGCTTCATGGGATGAACTTTCACACTGTGTACAGTAAAGGCAGTTTCCTATACCGTGTCCGAGCACAACTCCTACCTTGGTGTGATACCCTCTCAAAGCATGTGGGAAATGTCTCTGGACATCATTGCGTGAGTTCTGCGTTCCCAGAACGTCCCATTACCTAGAATATAGAATTGAGTTATCTGGATTCAGGAATGACAACAGTGTTTCCCAATTCTGCTATCCCCATGCTGACAATAGTTGCCAGATGGTCCCCTCACAGGACAGGCATGAATGTGGGTTGAGAGTAAAAAGCAGAAGAGGCACCATATACTTTAATACTATTTTGCATTAAGTATCCTCCAAATGTTACCAAGGAATAATAAATAGGAAAACATGTTCAGCCAATGCAAGCAGAATTGAAGGTTTAATGCGTCATAATTGTAATTAATATATCTAGTAATTATAATATCTCATTGCTGCAGGGTCCTTAATAATGTGCTTTCTGATCTTATTTTAATAGTTTTCTTCTTATTTGCTGTTCTATCCACAAGTTATAAAGTGCTGTTCAATATGTTGGTGCCAATAATTCTATATTTTTTTCCCTTAATAAAAACAAACAACTATTCAATTGAAAATTGTGGAAACAATGTGTTTCTGAAGCACCCCTTCCCCCCCCAATCTATGAGTTTACAAATGTCCCAAGGTTGATAAAACTGTATGACAGAGTTGTCACCATAACAACTACAGCATGCTCTGGTGCCCCCCAGGGTAAGTAGTAAAACTATTGTGAAACAGCTTGACATCTTCCCTGGGTTCCTTGGGGTGCTCCTCTGTCTGTTTTAAGCCCAGCTCTCCAGGGGTTAGCTCTTTGGCTCAGAGTGATCAGCTCTCAGTCAATGAGCTAGCTCTGCACTGCAGAGATTAGTACAGGAGATCTAAGGGAAGCTCCTAGCAGAGGTTTTTCTGAAGAGGAGAGTAGTGGTGGTGAGAGGCACCTGGTGGACTTAAAGGATCACTATAGTGTCAGGAAAACAAACTCGTTTTCCTGACACTATAGCATCTTGGGGGACCCTCACCCTCAGGGTCCTCCTCCCGCTGGTCTGATGGGGTTAAAACCTCTTCAGCCACTTACCTTAATCCAGCGCAGGGCTCCCTTGGCGCTGGTTACCTCTCTTCCCCCCCTGACGTCAGTTCCCGAGTGGAGCGGAATGCACATGCGTGGCAATGCTTTCCTATGGACGTTCTGCACGCGGGATGCAAATTTCACAGTGCAGCAAGTCGAGGCGTAGAGCATGCACCTGGCACGCAGAACTGCTGCTAGGCAGGTGCCTGGTTTGGTGGGAGGGTTGATCACACACACACACACACAGCACCCCCACACACACACACACACACACACACAGCACCCCTCACATACAACACTCACACACACACACCCCCCACCTCAATGCAGTATGTGTGTATTCAGCAGTGTGTGCGTGTATTCAGCAGTCTGTGTGTGTTTGCGTGTATTCAGCGGACTGTGTGTGTGTACTCAGCAGTCTGTGTGTACTCAGCAGTCTGTGTGTACTCAGCAGTCTGTGTGTGTGTAGTCAGCAGTGTCTGTGTGTGTGTATTCAGCAGTGTCTGTGTGTGTGTACTCAGCAGTCTGTGTGTGTGTACTCAGCAGTCTGTGTGTGTGTATTCAGCAGTCTGTGTGTGTGTATTCAGCAGTCTGTGTGTGTGTGTACTCAGCAGTCTGTCTGTATGTGTATTCATCAGTCTCTGTATTCAGCAGTCTTGTGTGTGTGTATTCAGCAGACTGTGTGTATGTATTCAGCATTGTGTTGGAGATACTAATAAATATAAGCTTAATTTTATCTATTTATATCATTATTTAAAATTTGTATCATTGAACTCTCTGTGTTCTTTTAAAACAAAAGTTATTAGTTCGGACAACAGTACGAGTTGTTTTTTTCTAAACTTAAACCTCAGTATTTGGGTTTAATTGCCATGTTGGCACTTTAAGGAGAAAAAATGTTGGCATGTATTGCGGTTTGGGCACTCGGGCTCAAAAAGGTTCGCCATCACTGATCTAGGATATGACAATAATTTTACTCTCTGGACTTTCATACCATTTCCAAACAAGAAATGACTCTGCAAAACCACTTGCAGTTGTTTTCAGACTGTCAACAAATGGCAGTTCCACAGAGCAGGCCCTGTCAGTATAAATGCACTCAGGTCTCCTTTGGAAAAGTGCATTAGCAAATACTAACAATATCAGAGTGGCATTAAAAATTCACCACATCTTACATGTCTCTTGTGTGTGGATAGTGTTTTCGCACAATGAATGGTAATATACTGGGTATTTACAATGTGATTAACTATAAGCTAACCAGATACATTTTCTCTTAATCACAGAGGTACATACTAGTGCGCCTCAGGTCCACTGCCAAATAAGTGTTGATTTGTAGTAGATTCTTACATTGTCTCTCTGTTAATCACTGGAGGCATTGCATCATACCTTTTCTCAGGATTTTGTGTTTTACTAATATATTGTCATCACTTTGCAAACAGTGTAAATGAGCCTACATACGAGCTGATCAGGGACCATATAATATAAGACTGGCAACAGATGATGCCCTCTCATTATTGTCCAAAATCGTAACACCAGGATCATGCAGAACAGGAACTGTCTGTGGATAATAATAGTAGATGCTAATAGTAAAATATTGAAACGATGGCAATAGGGAGTACGTGAAGTAGTGGGAGGCCTTTGCACCATATGGTAGTGGATACTTGTACAAGCAGTCATCCTGGACAGTAGCATCTAATCAGGTAAAAACATACACATTTTAGTAACTGTTATCTACATGAATGATGTTAATTTTAGCTAGGGATTTGTACAAAGAAAATGTTCTACATTTAATGCACTTAACCAGAACAGATTATTGCAGTAGTTGTAATACTAAAAAGCTCTTCCATCCTCGGTCCCATCTAATGCTCTTTGTTGAGGAGTATTGGGGACCTGAAGCACATGCGATGCTGCATGCACACCCAAGCTGTATTCAATGCTTTGCTATGAGAAAAAAACTCACTCAGTGCCACAGAAGTGCCTGTAGTAGTCAGGAAATAAGTATATAGAGGTGGATTTAACCTTGCAATGTTTGTAAAAAAAAAACTGCAATGTTTTACTTGCAGGGTAAAATGTCAGGACCACTGCACCCAGACCACTTCATTGAGATGGAGTGGTTTGGGTAACTTAACTTTAGTGGTCCTTTAACCAAATAGTTAGGTTCTGTGTAAGGACACTGCCCTCTTTCTTGCTTTTTGTGCCCTCTCTGTTTCTTTGCTATGAACTGTTGTTATACCAGGTTATCGTTCTCTTGTGACCCATACTTGTTTAACCATTTATGCTACTAGTTGCAAGGTTTTTTGTTTTTTTTAATATAATTTCATAGTTCACCTTGCCAACTCATAAACCTTACTATTCCTTTCTTTTCCTTGTTAGTATGGTTTTCAGTGATCTATGCGTTCTGGGGTTTAATCCTTACTAGAATGTTATAATTTATATTCAGCTTTAACACTACCTTAATGCTGACTCTTAAACAACCGATTAAAAATGTAAGAAAAAAAGAAGAAAATATTTAACAATGCCCTTCTTAAAGTACCATTATTCTAAGTAAACAGCTTAAAATTATTTGCCCATTTTATACTTTTGGAAAATTATAGGAAAATGTTACATATGCAAGATTTCTTTATTAGAATAAAACATTTTCACAGCCAAGTTTGTATTTTGCTCCACAATTATGATGCAATTTTGCATGCTAGAATTCCTGGCATGGACATTTATGGAAAAGAAGTGTAATGTTTCAGAATGATTAAGGCATGTATTTCAAAGTAACAAGAGGTTAAGGGGTCAATTTAACAAATTTGTGAAATTAGTCAAAAAAGAATTTCCAGATTGCTTAAGTTTAAATTTCCTTGAACTTAGTTCTTTTTATTAAAATGTCGGCTGTCAACATATAACACTAACCGTTTAGGTAGTAGACTCCCAAGTATATTTTACTTAAAGAAGATATAGATATATGGAAATGTTAGAACAAGATACAAAAGCTTGTTTGTGCTGATGCAGCTGTTAGGAGAAGATACTGCTGGTTACAAAAACAAACAGAAACACAATTAATGCATTGAAAATGGGTATGAGCCTGGAGCGAAGGTGGTATTTTATGACAATACTGTGCTTAGGTCATTAGGGAGATGGAATTGGCATAGAGAGTCTCTGAACATGGAAAAAAAGTGGTTTGAATCCACTATGATGAGTGGAAATGCATTATGTTTTAGATTTATGAAAAGGAAACCATAACCCTGTAGTGCAGGGCTTGACAATTTTGCTTGGAATCTAGCAGCCAGCTAAAAAAGTTAGGAGCCAGTTTTTTGTAAACTAACAAAGTTAAATTTTTATGACAAAAATACAATTCTTAATGTAGTGATTCTGGTGTCTATATCCTTTACCTGTATGTTTTTTTTTTTACATTTGAACACTGCCTTTTTAAAGAAAATATAGTGTTTACATTGCTGCTAGTGACAGTCTCTCACATGACCATTACAGGTGAATCCTAGTTCAGTGCTGCACAGTGTGCATGGAAGCCCTGAATGTTACCCATAGAGATACATTGATTCAGTGCATCACTATGAGGAGATGCTGATTGGCGTGGCGTTTTTTCACACATGCGCAATAGCCTCCTAATATTTTTATTTGGGAGAGTATTGGCTTGGCTGAGATCATTTGATTAAATTGAGATCAGAATGTTTATCTCAGTCATGGAGGTGGGAACAGCCACAGAGAGACTGGCAGGGCGTGGGAAAAAAGTGAGTAAAAATACCTTTTCCATGCGATCAGAGGGGGGCACTTACTAACAGAAACACACACTCACTGACAGACACACTTTCAGACAGACACAATCTCAATGACACACACATTCACTGACAGAAAAACACACTCACTGACTCACAAACACACTGAGAGACACACATATTCTCACACACTCACAAATTATTTTGTTTATTTTAATTTATGTCCACCACGCCTCCCTACCTTTGGGAGAACTGGAATAGTTCATTTCCCTGGGGTCAAGTGAGGCTGCTGTAATCTTCAAGCTCTTCTGACTCTGCTCCCTCGTGCGCAACTTAATGATGCAGGCGCTGGAGTGATGTCATATTCCAGCTTCCGGCATCATAGCAGGACGCAAGAGGGAGCAGAGTAAGAACTGCAGGAAGATTCCTGCTTCCTCGCCTCCACCTCAGTGCTCCTTCGGCTGGCTGTCTCCACGCTCCCAGGGCCAGCCTACACCACACTCCCTATGGCTGACAAACATCCTTGCGTCAGGAGTCTGGAATTTGTCAAGCCCTACTGTAGTGGCATAGAGTGGTTCATAGAATCTGTGGACACCATTTTTTGACTGTTTAGAAAAAAACACTGCTCCCCTGTTGACTACAGTCTCTGTTCCTGCTCAGGGCTGGCCAGACTAATGAGAAAGTCCACTTTTGCATTAGCAGAGGTACAACAGGATGGCTGGACTGTGGGTGCCAGAAGTGTCCCATTCTTGTCTACCCACTCATAAATAGTTTGACACAAATTGGTGAGATGACACCCACAGATTGCTAGCACCATAACCACAACCACATCAAGTCGCTGTGGTTATAAGGCATATAGTATTCTTTTGAAGGGGAAGAACACAGGTACACCTAACTTGAGATATATCTTTAGGTCAGTTCACAGGCCTGAAAAAGCAGTGTTTAAAGCAAAAAGCCTGCAGTGACTGACTATACTCACCAGAACAACTGCAATATGCTGTAGTTGTTCTGGTAACTATAGTGTCCCTTTAATGTATTATATGTCTGATCAAGTGAGAAGTGACCAATAGAGGGGAAAAGGAGAAGTAATAAAATCTATATTTATATACTTAATATAATATAATTGATTAAAATATATATATATATATGTATATATATATATATAATTTGAACAATTTAAAAATATAGTTTTTTTATTGCTTCTCCTTTTTTGCCTCTTTGTTTACGTCTTCTCACTTGACCTGTGAACCAAATGTTGTAAAAAATGCACCAATCAGTGAATGAAAAAATATACACACTATTGTTATGAACGCTGGTATTTCAGATACCCATTCGCTTTCGGTTCCTCCTGAACTGCTAAACGCCGAGTGATTACAGCTCGCAGTTCGGGTGTTGATTCGAAAGTCCTTCAGAAGAAAATGCAGTATCCAAGTAAATTCTCCAAGCAATCAGATGTATACCTAAACAACAGCCTAGACTAGATGAAGGGTACAACAGAAATGAATGTATTCAGGCCAGCTGGCCGGTTTATATGCAAGTCCCTATGCAAGGGGTACACACTGTAATTACATAGGCTCTCAGGTCCAGGACACTCCCACACAAAAAAGGATAATCCCTCCTCTGTGCCTGTGAGATAATTGAGTCAAGAACTATACTAAACTCAATTATCTCGAGGCACAAAAAGCATATATTTTAACAACCCCCTGAAAGTGCCCCCAAAACACATGGAAACCCCACAAAAGTCATATCCTCTGAATGCCCCGTTCTGGGGACCAACATATCCAAAAATCACCCAGATCGGTTCAGGGGTTTGGGATTTACATGGAAGCCATAATTTGACCGACCACACACAAGGTCTTATGCCCAAAACAGTTCCAGAGAATCAGGGCTTGCGGCCGGTCTAGTTTAAAAACCGAACAAACTACTGAACATAGTCAATAGTCTTACCCTGTAGCTTGTTCCTCTCATCCAGACGAACGATTCCACTGAACAGTGCCCTTCTAAGTTGCGTAGAACCGAACGCAGGCGATGCTGGAAGTCTAGTGGTGTTTTGGAGTTTCGGTGTCCGATTTTAGTTCCAGGAACTCTACGACCAAAGTATATTAGTCAAGGTCCATTGCAGGGGCCGTAGTCCTGAGACAAGAGGCTGGCCAGCAGGCCCCTCCAAGAACCCGTGGCGAGGTTCCGTTCATTACATTTCTTCCCCCCCAAGGTAAGACTAACCAGGTACCTGACCTGCTGCCGGTCGGTACCTGAGTTAGTCGGGCAGCTCACCCAACAACAAGTAGCTGACCTCTGGTGCCCGGCTCTGTCCTATATGTCCCAGGCTGCTGAGTGGGCGTCCGTCGCCTCCCCCGGTGTTTTTTGTTCTCCCAGGTATGGTGCTGTGGATACTTGCCCCTTAGCCAGCGTTACAGCCGGGTAGGTTGGAGAGTCATCCGGTCCTGGACTGAGAACAAGGGGAGGGCAGAGGCCAACACCACTCTGCCCTGGTGCCAGCGCTTCTGATGGGGAAACCTGGGGACAGACCGGCTCTATAGCAATGTGGTAGGTGGGGCAGAGGCCAGAGGCACTCTGCTCGGATGCCAGCTCTTCCGCTGGTAGGGGGCCAGTGGGGACTACCCCACTACCTCCCCCCCCGGCCCAGAACCGCGACTCCTCCAGACTACCACAGTCATCGTCCTCCTCCATGGCACTTAACAAGAGGCCAGGGCCATCGTAGCCCTCACCCTGGCTGAACGCCCTCTGCCAACCAAGTGTCTCGTTGGACTGCGTACCACCATAGCGCCCAGTACGAGTCGTCCAGCATCATCTCTTTCTTGACCAGGAACTCAAGGTGCCTTACCCACTCCATCAAGGATTGCTCTCCCAGGATCACCATCCGTATGGTCACTTGCTCCTGCCAGCAGTGCGCTGTACTTCGAACCTTTTTTTTCTGCCGAAGTGGTGCTACCTCCATGGACTCCTGCCAGAGTTCTCGCTTTGTAATGCACCTTGTAATCTCCACTGGAACTCCTCCTCATATGGGGACACTGCCCGGGGGCTAGCTTGCGCCATCTCCTTAGTTCCTCTTTAGACTGCTGGGCCTCTCACTGCCTTCCTGTTTCGGGATCCATTTGGATACGATCCCGCCACTTGCCACCTTGCTTCTCCTTTTTTGCCTCTTTTGTTTACTTATTCTCACTCGACAGTTAAACCAAATGTGGTGAAAATGCACCTATCAGTGAATTAAAACATATACACACTATTGTTACGAACGCTGGTATTTCAGATACCCGTTTGCTTTTGGTTCCTCCCGAACTGCTAAAGGCTGAGTGATTCTAGCTCGCAGTTCAGGTGTGAATTCGAACGTTCTCCAGAAGAAAATGCAGTATCCAAGTAAATTCTCCAAGCAATCAGACTTATACCCAAACGTCAGCATAGACTAGATGAAGGAATGAATTTATTCAGCCCAACTGGCCGGTTTATATGCAAGTCCGCATGCAAGGGATTTACCGTGACATATTCCAGGGGGCATTCCCCACTGGACCTGAGAGGGGACTATGGCAAAGTACATAATAGATAATTGAGTCAGGATCTGTACTAAACTCAATTATCTCCAGGCACAAAAAAACATACATTTTAACAACACCCCGAAAGTGCGGGGTTCAGGATTTCCATGGAAGTCATAATTTGACTGACCGTACACAAGATCTTATGCCCAAAACAGTTCCAGAGAATCAAGGCTTGTGGTCGGTCGAGTTCGGTAGTTTAAAAACCGAACAAAACAACCGAACATAGTCAATAGTCTTACCCTGGCTCTTGTTCCCCTCATCCAGACGAACAATTCCACCGAACAGTGCCCTTCTAAGTTGTGTAGAACTGAACACAGGCGATTATGGAAGTCTAGCGGTGTTGGGGATTTTAGTTCCAGGAACTTGACGAACTGCCTGCATTCATGCGAACAAGATGGCCGCAACCTCGTGGTCGTTCATGCGAACAGCGGCCACCCTGATAAACAATTAGAAAACTGGTGTTAGAATCGTTACCAAGTGTTAATAAGGTTTAAAAAGCTCCCGGGTGGTCTGTTCGTGCGGCTGTTCGGGTTTCCGAACCACATAATCCCAATTACACGAACAGAGCCTTTTAAAAGTATATTAGTCAAGGTCTATTGCAGGGGCCATAGTCCTGAGGCAAGAGACTGGCCAGCAGGCCCCTCCAAGAACCCGTGATGAGGTTCAGTTCGTCACAACTATATTTATATATTTCAGGACACTGATTCGCCAATTTCTCTCCATTTTGGTTTGGCCGAATCTCTTTCCTCAGAACAACTGCATGATGAAATCCGTCCAAACTGAAATGCCACATGCATGAATTCCTGAAACCAAATTTGGTCGAACCAAATTTTTTTGCTCTGCACAAATCTAATTAATAAGATCTGCACAAGTTAGAGGTGCATACCATGCACTCCAACACCAGACCACTTATTGTGAGTTTTAATGCTGAAAAGGTCAATGTAAAGGAGGAATCCCCAGAGCTCCAAAGCAGTAAAACTCAAAATATTGCGCGCAAGGCATTTAACCTAAAGAGTTGCTCCAGCATACTTGTTCTTGTTTGATTTCCTTTTTCTTTTTGCTGTTCATAATATTGTGCGGTATGGATGAGTATTAATTAGCTCCAAAGCAATATGCTTTGTGTTTTTATGTGGTGCCTCTGTGTAAGTGTAGTATATGCATCTTTCACCTGCATTGCCAAAAATCCTTGCACAGGCCCTAGAGACAGGGAAGGAGCACCAAGGAAGAACCTACTGAGGGTTGATGTTGATGTTCAGATAAGTGTGGTATGAAAGAGAAGAGAAATTCCAGACCATAGTGATTAAGGGGTGCATATTGTGCCAACCAGCTACCCCGTGATAACTGGACCAGGCTTAGGACTTCAGAGAAAATACACAAAAAAAGTAGATTAAGGGCCCCTGTCACAGATGCCTAAAAGACGCCATACTAAGCAGCTCCTGTGAATCTAATACTTAAGATAAACCTTCTGCCTCTATTTACTATTCCGCGAGTAAGGGGCACGTCTACTTTAAAATAAATAATAAGCCCCCCCCACTCCAATAAAGTGCCCCATGGTGAGGAACCTATTCAAATGATTAACGGGGGGGGACATAGAGTAGGGGCTACTAAATTAAAATGGGACCTAGATTCCCCCTCCCAGCCATGAGCAGCAGGTGGGGGCCCTGAGTGACAAAAGGGGGGGGGGATCTACTGCCTCCCCATCCATGAGCCTATTTTCATTTGTGGAAAGTGTTCCCTCTGACAACAGACCTTAAGACATGTCTAGTCAGCTCCTAGAAGGGATTTGTGACATCAGTCATTCACTTTTCATTAGGGAATATGAGCCAGGCATATTGCCTTTTCTGCTAGGACTTTCAAATGCTTGCATAGCAGTGAGGCATCCTACTGCAGTCTATTCAAGGCTGAATTTGATGGACTTTTTTCAACCTAGATTGCTATGTAATAAAGAAACATCATCATTACAAAGAAGATATTCCTGATCCCATTATTTTTGGCCACATTGTAACTGACTCGAAGACAGCAGACCTGCATGTTTTAGATCTGCTGTTCTAACAGCCTCCATGAGATTGCTGGAATCACAGAGAAATTGTCACATTTTTCATGGAGAACATCCTAGACTTTCCATATGGCCTTTGATTCCTCCTTAGATGGAATGAACCAACCTCCCTTTATATCCTGTACCTGTTTTAAGATAGTGACTACAGCAGGGTAGTAGGAGAGTAGAGACCCCAAAGTGTGCACAAAGCACATCCTGGGCACTAGAGAGGCTATCATAAACAAGCAATATAGATAAGTGTGGGTTTGTAGTAAAGGAGTGTGTGTATGTACCCAAGACTGTATAAATATGTACAATTTTGTCATTAAGTGTGTATGAAAACACCTATGTACATGCTATAAATGTTATTTCCAATATATATATATATATATATATATATATATATAAATAAAGTATGTGCCATAGCATTCCTGACAGTGTGTGTACGGGAAGGCTGCATATGAAAGTGTAATTTATGCATTGTGAAGTTTATTGATGCATTAAATCTTCCACCCCACCATCCAAATACTTCATCAGTTATCAGTAGCCTCTAGGTGGGGAGAACATGAAGAAGAAATGGTAGCACGAGAGAGACATTGGCAGAGAACATTGGAAATAAGAAGAATACATAAAACATAGGCAGAAAGAGCAAGTAAAATAGGTAACAGATAACTCTCTGATATGAAACCTTATAGGATAGTTGAGCTATATATATGACAATATCTCATACAGCTGTATTATTAGTTTGACGCACTAGATAGGGTCCCTTATGTAGTCCTGCAGTCTTTACATAACGGAAGTATGGCCTCTCCACACTCTTCTACCCCATGATCATCAGTAATAATGAGTTCAGCCAGAGGAGGAAAAGCAATGCATTGGGGCCATAATGGTTTAGAGGGCCATTAAAAAGCTAAAGACACTCTGACCTTAGTAATACACATATTTCTGAGGTTAGACGGTTCCTTTAAACTAAATGAAATAAAAGGTATATTTAAAACACACAACAAATGTAACTGCAATGTATATCCTGACAAATGTGTAAATACGCGGAGTGGCCCTTACACACAGTATACAATCAAGTACACTGTAGTCACACACAACTGTGAAGGTGTAGTGTGGATTGTTTGATGCTGTTATGGAACAAAATAAAAATTGTTTATAAAACAATGAATTTTGAGTTCACTTAGTGGAAACCAGTAATGAGTGGCTATGTTATTTGTTATCTGCATGTTTTGGGAATAGATTGCATACAGTATAATCCTTTTCTGTTATTGTTTTGGCTTTTTGTTCTTTCCTAATCACAAAGTTAGCTTGTACGTTTTACTTCCAGATTTGGCAAACATCCACATTATAGGTTAAACAACAACCTTCCATAGTAAAAGTAATTTCACAGCTTGCATCATGGGTGCACTGTCATTAAATTATATGTTTGTACCACAGTTCCAAAGAGTCAAAGGCATTAAAGGGACTCTCAAGCCAGAGTAGTTTACTCACCTGGTTCCAGCGCCGGGAGCCTCGAGAAGCCGCGCCTCCTATTTAGTCAAAATGACGAAATAGGCGAGCGCGAGCAGGGAGCAATCAGACGCTTCCATTTGGAAGCGCAATTGCTCCCTTGTGGGCATGCGCGGCTTTGCCGCACATGCGCACATACTTCATAGGGCGGCATTCTGAGCGCACTACCGCGCATGCGCGCAGTGTGTGCGGCCGCGAGCTGACTGACAGCTCAGCTCGCGGTCTTTGCCCGTCCCCTCTCCTCTGCTGACAGGCAGGAGAGAGAAGGCGCGCACACAGTGCATTCTCTCTCCTGCACACGTCAGACGTATCTTAATACGTCTGACGTGTACAAGGCCTTTTTAGGGCCCTACATGATAGGAAGTCCCTCTGGTGGCCGTCTGAGTGACGGCCACTGGAGGTATTCCTATCAATCAATGTAAACACTGTATTTTCTCTGAAAATACAGTGTTTACATTAGATTGCCTGCAGGGAGCTATAGATCTCACCTCAACAAATACATTAAGCTGTAGTTGTTCAGGTGACTATAGTGTCCCTTTAATTAGCTCTTTTGTTTTGTTTTGCGTTTAGATTTGATAATGTTGTGTCTCTGCGTGATGTGATTTTAAATATATAATATGCAAGAGTTTGATGTATGGGAGCTGTTGAATATTGATGCATGCGTACCACAGAAAGAAAATGTCAAGTAATATAAAACTAGATTATTGTGAAGACAAGGGAGCCAGAAATCAAAAAGCTGCTATAATATATTAAGGTGCAACTACTAGAACTTCCTGTCTCCCTTTCCTGGCAGTTTGTTTATATTTGCCCTGAATTTTGAAAAAAAATACATCTTGTACTTTTTATTATACATACCATTTTGTAGCCAGTTTTCGCCATGGTAATCCATTGTTTCTCCAAATAATATTCTTCAGTCTGCAAAAGATCGATACAGTAGACATGTGTGCTGTTTATTCATTTACAATTTTATTAAACTTTTTTCTAAGTATATTAGTGAAAATACAGTAGCATACAGTGAACTTTCATTTACAGTGTCTTTCATTTTATTAAACAGTTGTGACATGTCAAAGGTCACTGCAAGGTCTGTAAGTAGTGGAGAGTCACAGCACTATGCAAAGGAAATACATAGCATAAATGTAATACCAGCAGTACAGAACAAAAAGGATATTAATACAAATAAGTTATATTCAGTTGAGCCTCTGGGGAGCCTCAATTCGGTAAAATAAAGGAACACTCTAAGGTTAGGATTATAACATGTATACCTAATGTGAGAGTGATGAGATAATTTCGATATTTGCTACTCCAAATAGTTAAATTAACCTTTTTACTTACATTATTTCCCACAGAAGCATTGAGGTTCTAGTGCGCATGCATGCCAGTCGCTGCATCATGCCAATCGTCATCTTCGCATACAGATGCGTTGCCTTAATCCATCTCTGTGGGGAGTGTTTGGTGTTTCCACGTTGAGTGGGATTGAAAGCCCCTTTGAGTGACAGCCACTAAGAGGTGGCATTAGGCAGCAATGTTAATGCATTGTTTTTTCAGTGTTTACACTACATGCACCGTCTCCTTGTCCTAGACCCACAACATTAAGATGCAGTGGTTCTGGAGCTTAGAGTGTCCCTTTAACCCCTGAAGGACCAAACTTCTGGAATAAAAGGGAATCTTGACATGTCACACATGTCATGTGTCCTTAAGGGGTTAAAGGCCACAGGGTACATGATGTTGCAAAGTGAAAGATGGACAAAATACATGTCATTAGTTTTCCGATGTACAAACATGTATTCCTGACCCTATAGTGTGAAAACCACCATCTAGCTCCCCTCCCTCCTCCTCCCCTTGCCTCCCTAAATATGTATTTAAGTCTGCAGCTTCTGGCTCTGCCCCTGTTTGCCTGTGAACGGCCTCTGTCTGCTGACATCATCAGATGTGGTGGTCTGAGCCAATTACAGTGCTTCCCCATAGGATTAGCTGAGACTGACAAAGAGGCAGATCAGGGGCAGAGCCAGCACTGCATTTTCTCTGAAAATACATTGTTTACAGCAAGGGAATGATTCTAAGCACCAGAACAAATGCAATAAGCTATAGTTGTTCTGGTGACTATAGTATCCCTTTAATATATGTTTTTTTTTTGTTTTTTTTAGCTTTAATAGCATTTACTAAGGTGTGAGGACGAGGAATTATCACTACCAGATAAGCAACATTTTTTTAATACAATTCGATTTTTCGAAAGAGTAAAAGTTGTTTTACAATGCACATAATATTAAAGGGACATTCTTAGGACCAAAAGTAATTTAGCTTAATGCACTGGTTTTAGCATGTTGATCATGGGACTGCAATTTTTACTGCTCATTTTTCTATCATTTAGGATTTAAGTCACTGTCCTAATGCAGTCCTAGTCACATTTTCCTTTCCTGTGACTTACACAGTCTCCCTACACACTTACTGTAAAGGGAGATCTAATGTTTAAACTTCCTTCGTGGCACAATTTGTTTAATTCAGAATTTGTTTTATTGCCTTCTAGAGTCTGCAACAGCCTCATGTTTGTGATTAAAGCTCAATTAACAGAGCAGAAGGTAGAAACTAGTGACCAGGCCGTTTTTCAATTTTCTTACCGTTTGGAACAAGGGCTGTTTTTAAATTTCTGCTGTGTTTGTGTTTAGCTGTAATTTTCCTCTTACTCATTTACTGCACCCACACATATTATATACCGTTTTTCTCACCATTAAATGGTCTTTCTACAGATATGATTATTTTCATCATATTATATCATTTACTATAAAATTATAAAATATGATGAAAAAATGTAAAAAAATTCTAACTTTGACCCCCAAAATCTGTTATGCATATACAACTGCCAAAAAACACCAGTGCTAAATAGTTTCTAAATTTTTCCTGAGTTTAGAAATACACAATGTTAACATGTTCTTAGCTTTTTTGGAAAGTTATAGGGCTATAAGTACAAGTAGGACATTGCTGTTTCAAAATATATATTTTAAAAATATTTAGAGAGGGCGGAGCCTGACTGCCAACCAAGATGGCCGCGTGTTAGAGAGGCTCCGCGACGGCAGACAAACTAACAGCTATAATCAGCGGCACTGGAGTCACTACAGCTCTAACAGCATGGGTAGACACCTCACAACTCCCCAGCACTATGGGAGGTGGACGGAAAACGAAGTCCGGACCCCAATATTCCGGACCTGGAGGACAAAGAGCAGCCGCGTGCAGAAAGCCATCAGGCCTCGGACTCAGAATCCGAGGACAGCACACACAGCCACGAGACTGAATCCTCCCCTCTAACTAAACGGGACCTCAGAAACATGCTCCACGACATGAAATCCCTGGTGGCTGCAGAACTCACGAAGCACCTGGCCCCCATTAAAGAAGGCCTAGCTCTCAAAGACCTCAGAGAACAGATAGCTCTTCTAGAAGAAGCACAGGAAGACCTCAACAATAGATCCATACGTAACAACATCCGTATAAGGGGTCTCTCTGAAACTTACACACAGGACACTCTCACTGCCACGCTACATGAAGCCTTTAGCAGCTTGCTCCCTGATGCACCACCGACAGAGCTGCTCCTGGACAGGGCACACCGAGCTCTCCGTCCTCCGGCTGCTAACCCCACACAGCCCAGGGACATAATACTACACTGCCACTACTTCCATACCAAAGAGGCGATCATGAGAGCGGTGAGGGAGACCCCCCTCCAAATCGAGGGCCACACGGTCCAACTGTACCAGGACCTAGCGCCCACAACCCTCCGCAAGCGACGAGAGCTACGGCCACTGACCCAAGCCTTACAACAGAGAAGAATACGATACTCCTGGGGCCATCCGTTTAAACTCATGTTTCGACATGACAACCAAACTTTCACCCTAACCAGACCGTCAGAAGCACAGAATTTCGCCTCCCACCTGGGCCTGAATGACCTGCAATTAAATTTGCCTGCTAGTTCCCAGACCGCTGCACCCCAATGCGGCACGTCGGAGCCACTGCACACAGGCCACCACAGACACTCCAGGAGACAACGGCCTACCCAACTGCAAGCCCCTCACGCCTAACTGATGCCCCCTCGCAATCACTCTGAGCACCGCTAATGCAAGTTCCTGCTGCCCTGGTGTGGACCTGGCCCCCGACCACCCGAGTGCCTTCTTACGGTGATCCACGTAAGAGACACAGCTGCTCCTTTGCACACCGGGTCCCAAGATTCTCTCCAGAACACACACTAACTACCAGACCTTTGCGACCTCACAGCCGCAAGGCCGACGTGAAACCAACTACGTAACGTATACTATAACTGTATGATATACCCCTACCCTCATGTGCGGGCAGACCCAAGCGGTACATGTGGCAGACTACCCTAGAGGGGCCACCCCGCACTAGGTCAGCGGGGGATGTACAGCCATGCTCGACTTTGAAGCATATATATTTTATTTCCTTACTGTTCGAATATCCACTAAAAGTCTCACCCGATGGCCACACTGTGGCTGCCCTCGGGGCTCCTCCTTGCCCCGCTGCCTGGCGCGGGGGAACGGGGGCCCTGACCAAGCGGCTGCGGTGGTCACATTGCCCCCCATTGTGCTTATGCCTCATGGCTTTACTGTACTAACACTCACCGAAATGTGTTGCCTCATGCATCGCACTGCGGTCGCCCTTGGGGCGGGGGGGTGCCCTGACTGCGCAGCCGCGACGGTGACATTGTGCCCTAGTGTACTGATGCTTCGTAACTTTATTGCCTTCACACTTGTTGAAATGTGTTGCACCCTATTGTACTGATGCCTCCTTGCCTCACTGTCTTGACACTCACCAAGATGTACTGCCTTCTTAATCATACTGCGGTTGCCCTTGGGGTGCACCCTCCCCCGCCTCCCGGTGGGGGACGGGGCGTCCTGACGGCACAATCGCGACGGTTTCATTGTGCTCTGTTGTACTGATATTGCATAGCTTTATTGCCCTGACACTCACTGAAATGTGTTTTGTTTTAATGTACTGAAGCCCTATTGCCATACCGTTTTGACATTTCCTAAGGTGTGATGCCCTACTTACAATACTGTGGCCGACCTCGGGGGCGCCCCCCCCCGTGAGCCATCAGTGCTGGTACCTTACCCACCACAATGATTGCCGCGTCCAATTCACAGGCCTGCCGTCGCCTCTCTGCTAGTCAGCCTCTATCCTCATATCACCTGATTCTTGTCACCGGTCTCCCAGCCTTAAAACCAGAGAGGCCGTGGACACCACAGTTCCCCCCTGCTGGCTCTGGAGATAAGCCCAGCGATCACCCCTACTGCTCTACCGTCCACCCAATCCCTTCCGCTCGCCCGAGCCCACCGGAACCCCCTTTGACTTCCCCTCCAGCCCCCCACCCCCAACCTACCCCGACGTCTTAGACTCCCCCCAACCTCAGACTACACTGAGTCTCCATTAACGCCAAGGGCCTCAACAACCCTAAAAAAAGACACTCCCTCCTACGATGGGCCCACAATCAAAAGGCTGACATCCTCCTCATTCAGGAAACCCATTTCTCAACTGCTAGACAGTTCCCATGAAGAAACCGACACTACACTCGTTCATTTTTAGCAAACTCCCCGACTACAAAAACTAAGGGGGTGGCCATTCTCCTCAAAGGTACATAACGATAACAAGTAGAATCGGCCCCACCTCCTACTCCTTTACTTCACTATATGCCCCCACAACAGCAGACCAACAATTCTGGACTACAATCTCCGCTCACCTAGCATCTCACCCGACAACTTACAGCGACATTGGTGGTGACTGTAACGCAACCGACACACCAACCCAAGACCGCACAGCCAGGCCAACAGGCGGGTGCCGCCCTTCCACCAATGACACGCTGTTCTCCCAATTCCTCAACACACACAACCTCCTAGACGTCTGGAGGGCACAACACCCCTCTATCCTGGACTACACCTTCTACTCACATCCCCACAACACATATTCCCGTATCGACTACTTCCTCATCTCCCCCAACCTTATACCCACAATAACACACTCCTCCATAGGCAACATCACCTGGTCAGACCACGCCGACATATCCCTCACCCTCACAATCCCCAGCATGACCAGACCATGGACATGGAGACTAAACCCACAACTACTCCATGACCCACTCGTGACTACTTCCCTGGCAAAGGATATATCAGAATACTTTTCCCTGAACGACCCGTCAGTCCCCTCCCTGATCATGTCCTGGGCTGCCCATAAAACGGTTATAAAAGGCAAACTGATCACCATAGCAGCGGCACGCAAAAAACAAGCCACTAGACCAGGCATAGGCAACCTTCGGCACTCCAGATGTTTTGGACTACACCTCCCATGATGTTTTGCCAGCATTAAAGATGTAAGAGCATTATGGGGGATATAGTCCACAACATCTCGATTGCCGAAGGTTGCCTATCCCTGCACTAGACAAATCATGGACACCATGACCAACATCAGCTGACTTGAAGCCCTCCATAAAACTGACCTCACCCCCGCCCACCTACAACAACTCACAGCAGCCCAAACCCTGCTCAAGAGACTATCCCTATCAGCGACAACTAAGGCGCTAGCCTGGATCAAACAAAAATTCTATGAGAAGGGTAATAAAGCAGACTCCATGCTGGCCAAATGCCTCAAAGCACTCACAGAAACAAAGCAAATCTCCCGCATTCGAACCCCAGACGGCTCCGTGAGCGACATCCCACACAAAATCGGGGAAACGTTTCAACAATACTTCACCTCCCTGTACAATCACACCCCGGACCCTCCCTCGGAACAGATCAACTCCCTGACTGAAGACTTCCTAAACAAACTCTCCTTAACCTCCCTCACTGAAAATGCAAGATCAATGGTCTCTGCAGAGGTCACCCCTGAGGAGCTCTCTGCGGCCATCAAGACCTTAAAACCCAACAAAAGCCTGGGCCCAGACGGCCTGACGGCTATTTACTATAAATCCTTCGGGAAACTACTCGTCCCCAAACTCTGCTCAGTCTTCAACGCTATGCTCAAGGGAGACCCACTACCGCCCGACATGACTCGAGCCAACATCACCCTAATCCCGAAACCCGGTAAATCCCACTACCGCCCCATCTCACTATTAAACATAGACTTGAAAATCATGACCAAAGTTATGACCACCAGACTGAACGTCCTTCAGGGAAACTAATAAAACCAGACCAGGTTGGCTTTATACCGAACAGACAAGCCCAGGACAACACCACAAGGACAATAGACCTAACATGGCTGACCAACCATAGACAAATCCCCATGGTCTTTGTCTCCGTAGACGCCAAGAAGGTGTTTGATCGCCTTCTGTGGCCCTTCCTCTTCTCAACCCTCTGTAAATTCGGCTTCCCACATGAACTCACCCAGTTTATACAGGCGATGTACCACAACCCAACGGCCCAACTTCTGATACCCAACATTAATCTCCCCTCCTTCCCCATTCTCAATGGTACCCAACAGGGATGCCCTCTCTCCCCCCTCTTTGCCTTATCCCTCCAACCCCTCCTGGAATCCATATGAACGCGCCCAGACGTCACAGGGCTCACTGCCCATAATGAAACATTCACCGTCGCGGCATACTCCTCACCCTGACGAATCCTGAACACGCCCTCAATGCTAACACTCATCAAGGAATACTCCACGATCTCGGGCTACAAGCTCAACGCCACTAAATCAGCCCTCCTACCCCTCACATCCCGACACCCACCCCAGCCTCCCTGAAGCGAAAATTCCCTTTCTGCATCTACCCCACAGCAATCACCTACCTGGGAATACAGCTCACTGCGGATGTAGCCTCCCTATACAACGCCAACTACACCCGCCTATACCGCAAAGCACACACCGACCCCCAACGCTGGAAACCCATGAGCATCTCCTGGCTAGGAAGAATAGCCTCAGTAAAAATGAACCTTCTCCCTAAATTTCTTTAAGCCCTACCCATCCCCTGCAACAAGACAGACCTAAGAACCCTACAAACCGCCATAGACCGCTTCATTTGGAATGACCGCAAACCCAGAGTATATCGATCGATTCTATATATCCCTAAACACTCAGGCGGCCTAGGACTCCCCAACCTACTGCATTACCAACATGCGGCCCACCTAGCACAAATCCAACACTCGCACCTCCCTCCTGACCATAAAAGTTGGGTTGACTTAGAACACCTCATATTCGGTCGAGACCACCCCTCCCTTTACATATGGCTTCCGAAACAGCATAGACCATTGCACCCCCCAACCTCCCCTGCGATTACCTACTCCATAGACATCTGGGACCGCCTTAGCGACAAATTTGACCTCTCCTCGGGCCTATACCCCCTCATTCCCATTCTCCGCAACCGATTGTTCCCTCCGGGACTTTCACCACAACACTTTGCCCACTTTGAGGAAAGGGATATCGCCCGGCTTGATCACCTATACCCAAATGGCAAACTTCTCCAATACACAGACATCCCCCACACCTCCACCCTGACAACTTTTGACCACTTCAAGTTTCTTCAGCTCTGCAGCTTTGCGGCATCCGATGCTGTACTCTGGGCAGCCACATCCCCCCTCACGACTTTGAATGTGACTGCAAACGCTCCCCGACACGTAAGAGCCAAATATCTGAATTATACATGACCCTCACCACGCATTACACCCAAATCTCCCTACCAAATATCACAGCCTGGGAGAAAGACCTGGGCCCCCCTGACAACCCCACAGACTGGACAAACATCTGGGCAGCCATCAAGTCGATCTCCATATGTGTAACCCACCAAGAACAAGCGTACAAGATGCTGTTCAGATGGTACCTCACCCCAACCCGACTTGCAGCAATGAAACAAATCCCCACTAGCAACTGCTGGAAACTGTGCGGGGAAACAGGCACGTTCCTCCACTGTTGGTGGACATGCCCGAAACTAAAACCCCTCTGGCAAAGCGTCACAAACTTATTGACACACATACTCTCCAGACCAGTACCCATGGACCCCTGGGCCCAACTTCTCTCCAAACCTATCGACACATTCACTTGAAATGAAAAACTGATAGCTAGGGTCGCCCTAGCCACACGTAGAGCCATAGCAGAAGTCTGGTTCTCTCCTCACATCCCAACCCAATCCCAAATTCACACCAAAATAAGCGACGGCACTGACATGGACAAACTGACGGCACAAATACACGACATCCCGAAGACGTTCCATAAAATATGGGACCCATGGCTGGATGCAGACACCATCCCCCCTGGTAAACCAACCCGGCCCTCAAACACATGCACCATGTCGCTGATCATGCTAACCCTACAGACACTGTGACAGCCCTCCATCCTACCCCCACCCTGCCATCCTCACCCCATCCCAGGCACGCCTAAGGAGATCCTCTACCCGGGTTCTCCACCAAGGCACATCCCCCCTTTAAAGTAACCCCACTACCAAACATTGGAACTCAGCACTTGCCTGGTACCAACTCTCCCTCTCAGCCCAACTCTAACGACAGCACCACCCATTTTGAAAGGGATATGATAAACGGGCATAACTCTCTCACCAACAGAGAGTCCCCAACCGTAGACCAGACCAAGCACCATCAACAAAACCAAGATGGTCCAATGTATACCTCATGTACCAAGTTAACCTATGTTCAATTGAATGTTACTCTTTGATGTTACAACTTTTTGTTTCAACCTAACATTCTTTCTGTACGAATGTCTTATTGAAAAATCCATAAATAAAGAATCTTTAAAATAAAAAAAATGTATCAATAGTGACATTGTAACACTCTTATCTGTCATAAATCTCTGAATCACACCTCACATATAAAATTTTTTTTAAAGTAGACAACCCAGGGTATTCAATTTGGGGTATGTCCAGTCTTTTTAGTAGCCACTAAACACTGGCCAAAGTTAGCATTTATATTTGTTTGTGTGTTAAAAATGCAAAAAAAACAATTATAACTTTGGCCAGTGTTTGTGACTAAGTGGCTACTAATTCTCATTCCTGGGCTACCATACGCTCTCAAAGGCAACATAACCAATCTGGAAAATTTCAATGTGAAAAAATGGAAAATCAAGCCTTATATTTGACCCTGTAACTATCAAAAACACTATAAAACCTGTACACGGGGGTACGGTTATACTCAGGAGACTTCGCTGAACACAAATATCAGTGTTTCAAAACAGTAAAACATATGACAACAATGATATCATCAGTAAAAGTGCCGATATTGATTTTTTCGAGCCAATACCAATAATCTGTGAACTTTACAGCCGATAGCCGATAACTTACCGATACTCTGTACATCTACAAATTTTTTAAAAATAAACTATTTCTACACAAATATACTGTTAACTGAACATGTTTATTATTTATTAAATTTTTTTGCAAATCTTTTTTTTAATTAAGGTAAATGCACAAAATATACATGCCAGTTAGGATTTTTTAGGTTTTCAAGAATATATGTGTGTGTAGTGGATGCAGTGAGAGTATTTGATTAGTGAATGTAATGTGTGTGTGTTTGTGTAGTAGATGCAGTGTATGTTTGTGTAGTGTGTGTTTAGTGAATGCAGTGTGTGTTTGTATAGTGTGTATATAATGAATGCAAAATGTGTGTTTGTGTAGTGTGTGTATAGTGAATGCAGTGAATGTTTGTGTAGTGTGTATATAATGAATGCAGAGTGTGTTTGTGTAGTGTGTGTATAGTGAATGCAGTGTGTTTGTGTAGTGTGTGTATAGTGAATTCAGTGTGTTTGTGTAGTGTGTATATAATGAATGCAGAGTGTGTGTGTTTGTGTAGTGTGTGTATAGTGAATGCAGTGTGTTTGTGTAGTATTATTATTATCATTTATATAGCGCCAACAGATTCCGTAGCGCTTTACAATATTTGTGTATATAATGAATGCAGAGTGTTTGAGTAGTGTGTGTTTAGTGAATGCAGTGTGTAGTGTGTGTATAGTGAATGCAGTGTGTTTGTGTAGTGGGTGTTTGTGTAGGTATGTAACGTGTGTAGAATTGGGGGCGTGGGGGGTCATTTTTATTTTTTTTAACTTTTAAAAAAATCTTTTTTATTTTTTTTAACATTTTGTTTTAGCCCCCCCTTCCCTGCTTCTTACCTGGCCAGTGAGGGGGGATATGGCATTCCAAGAGGGGCCTGCAGTGGTCCTAGGGAGCCCAGCTCACTCTTACTACCCTTCCCAGCAGCTCGCTTCAGCTACCCTGTCTAACTCTCTCGCGGGGAGTTGCCATGGTAACCCGTGGGAACACTCTGATGGCCGTGGGACTCGCGAGAGTTAAACAGGGGAGATGAAGGGAGCTGCTGGGAAGGTAAGTAAGAGTGTTCTGGGCCACTCATGACCGCTGTGTGCCCTCCAGTACCCAGCCCTGGTTTGCATTATTGGCAATATCGGTATCTCTATTGGACGATACCGATATTGCTGAAAATACAGAATATCAGCTGATAATATCTACCAGACCGATAATCGGTCGATCCCTACATAGTATGACGTTATATATAAGATATACACTGAACAAAATTATAAATGCAACACTTGTTTTTGCCCCCATTTTTCATGAGCTGAACTAAAAATTTGTATTGTGGCCAGCCTAAGGCACAGCTGTGCAATAATCATGCTGTCTAATCAGCATCTTGATATGCCACACCTGTGAGTGCTCACTAATACAGATTTAGACAGATTTGTGAACAATATTTGAGAGAAATAGACTTTTGTGTACATAGAAAAAGTCTTAGATCTTTGAGTACAGCTCATGAAAAATGGAGGCAGAAACAAAAGTGTTGCATTTATAATTTTGTTCAGTGTATAATATTTTTTTCCTTTACTAAACATTTTTTATTTAATTTTTTCACCATCAGTGGGACTGCTTGTCAGTTCAGGCAGTCCCCCTGCAGGCAGCACTGTGGACGCCTATTGTGGCCATGTGACCGCTCTTCAGTTTGCCGAGGGGGGACTGTCTGGGCTGTCAGAGAGGAACACCAGACAGAGAGGAACACCGATCGCCGGCGGGGGAACGGCAGCAATCGGTTAAATACTAAGAATAAGTACGTCCGTGGTCAAGAAAGGGTTAACTCCTAAAAGAAAAATTAGCAGTAAAATTGCAGAGTCATGATCTATACACAAAGACTGCTTCATTAGACTAATATTGTTTTGATGCTTAGAGTAACCCTTGCCACAATGTTGCAATTTTTTTTATTTATTTTTTTATTTAGGAAATTCGAATTGATAAACTATGTAATATCTCAAAAAATATTTGCCCTTTGCTTTATTTTACAGGTGAATTAACTAGGTGTTTGGCCCAAAATTAACATGCCAGATCTATCGATTTACGTTGATAATAAGGTTATTTATGTGTCCTTCATAATAAAAGGTTCACATGTTTTTAAGTAACCAGTTTGAGCCAGGGCTATCTGGCGTACTCATGTGTTAAGCTTGCTGATTAAATTTATTTTCATTGTGGCATAAACAAATCTTAGTAGTGTGATCAATGCTCATACTCAGATGAAAACACAGTGTGTTTCTTTAGATAGTCCCCATGTTTTGTTGGATTGAAAGAAATATTGAATGTAACTCATTCAGCTGTAATAATGAAGAATACATGTTTTGGTGTTTCTGTGTAAATACTGGACTGTTTTGGTTTTATGTAGAGCGCTGTGACCGGTTCTTGTATGTGCAATCTGGCAGGGCACAAGGAATAAGCAAAGTTAATGGGTCAAGTAGATCACATGAATAAAAAACAGGATACTATAATTTTGCCACTTTTAAAGAGTAGGCACAATTTTTTAACTATATGATTTAATTATTACACTAAAACTTCCATCACCCATAAGCAAATTCTGTCTGCCTGGAATTTTTGGGAATGGTGATACAGTAACATCTGAATAGATGCTTTCATTTCTTGAAATAGTGCATCTGTGTAGGCTCATAAATTACGTAAAACATATTTTTTGTTGTTGTTGAAATTGCATGTACCGTAATTCCTTTTCAGAGTATTTTCCTCAATGGCCACTGTCACGTTTTGGAACTGACTCAGGTTCCCATTTATATTGGCTGGTTAGGGCAGTGGTAATTAGACGTGCAATTTGTTTGGACCAAATCAAAGTTAGTCCAATTCTTCAAATCAGCTGCGTTCGAATTTCTGAATCGCCACAACAACAAAACAGAATGAAACAAATGTCACTGAACCAAAACGTTTTGGATCCATTTGCTTTTATTTGACTGGCTGAAAAGTAGTAAACATGGGAACGTAGTGTGGACCAATAAAATCATTCATTTTATGGCAAGACTTGCTTAAACCTTCTTTACTGAACCTCACAGCAGCAAAGAAACAGTAAAAAATGTACACACAAAAAATCAACCAATCAGAATTCATATCAGGAGCATATAGTATAGTGAGACTCCTCCCAACTCCTATTTCTTTGCTGTTTGCCTCTCACATGAGTATTCTAATTACAGTCCTAGTTTTGATATAGTCGGATGTGCTACTGTGATTTGATGCATCTTATACTTTTCTTTTGGAAATTTCTTTACTCATATTAAAGTTTTTTTTAGACCTTTCATGCAAATTTGTCCCCATTCCTTTGACTTTCTAAGTCAGTCCCTCTTTATTATGCCTCTTTGCTGTCTGTTTCAACATTTTTTCTTGTTATGTTTCCTGTAAGCTTTTTATCACCACCAGTCTGGTCAGTGTTTATACACTGCTCTTCCTCTCGGCAGCTGTGGTTCACTTTGCTACCTCTCACTAGGAACTTCAGGTTTTGGATGAGTATTGCGCTGGCTATTCGGATGAGGATTTTCCTACGAATATGCAACAAGATCCCGCTTACTCCGAATTCATTAAGGTTCCATCCCAACATGCTTTTTTTAGACACTAATTCTCTCAAAGCACAAGATTAGACCTCTGACATCCTAATGGTCACCACCTATTTGACTGTAAAACTATTAGGCACTCTTGCTCAGAGATCACATTGCTATTTATTGCAGGATGTGGCTTTGTAAGCCACTAGATAAAGAGATTTTGGCTAAATTGAGAGAAAAATACCCCCGGCCTACTATTTCGGATAATGCGGTTGACCTATTGCTGGTCACCATCCTTAGCAAAGACCCAAATAAAGGCCTAGAACAAGGCTTAAAGACCACTCAAAACAAACTTTTAGATATTGCAGGACCACTGATTCAGATTTTCATTCTTGCAGATGAGGCACTGTCAGGTGGGACTTTTGGATACTGCTTGGGGACTCCTAATTAATTCATGGGCCCCGGGGCTAGAAGCTCCTATCTCTCCGCATGGTGGATCTAGTGTGTGGAAAGATACATTATTAATCCCTTTTCGGCCTCTTTAACTCACATTATGATTTTTTTTATCTTCACTCTACGAGCAAGAAAAATCTTAGCAGTCTAGCAATGCCTTTTGGTCTTTTACCTCAGCGGCACACGTTCCGGTGGATGATTCCTCTGTGGGTAACCACCCATCCATCTGTAAGCTCTTACGTGGCATCTGTTTGGCCAGACATCCAGCTCCTAAATATTTCTACTTTTGGTACATTGCACAGGATGTTTTTTTTATGCCGCTTTTTCCCTACGGCACCTTTGAGCTAAATTAGCTAAATTACTTTGATTTTCTTAGAAGAGTCTCCGACATTCAAGCTTTCGACTTTCATGCTATTGTCTTTGTCCCAGAGCTTGTGCTTTTTCCCCATTAATCGATATACCAAAGCGAATTAATCCTTGTGGTTTTTACCTTTATTTTCCAGAGAGACCCTCTCTCTGTGTAGCTTGCTGTGTCCAGCAATACATTACTAATACGACCCCTCTTAATGCACCTTCAGGGCCCCCTTTTATTTCTTATGTTAACCTCACAAACCGGTTTCTTGCCCTACGATAGCTCACTGGATTAGATTGATTCTCACTATGGTAGGAATTGATTCCTCTTTTGGATGTCACTCCATCAGAGGCACATCTTCCTCTTCTGCCTTAGTTGTGGGCAGCTCCCTCTCTGACATTCTGTCCTCTGCGGATTGGTTGAGTAGTTTATTTTATTGACCTACTTCAGACCTTCGTCTCATGCATCTTTTTATTTAGTTTCCGAGCGGTAAAACAGCAAATATGAAGCTTCCTGTCTTGCCATAAAATTAGGAGCTGGCAAAGGCTGGTGGCCAGTCAGTGCACTTCACAATCGACTTATAAAGTGCTCCTTATAGTGAACATCCCTTGTGATTTACAAGACGTTAGTGGCAGTTCCTGATAAATGTAACTAGTTCAGGGGCAGGGAGCTCAACCACGGCAGTCAGTGCTTCAGTAGGCAAGCAGCAGCTTTCCTTTCTCCACCATGCTGATGTGATGGACAGGTAGTTACTAAAAAAGATGGTGGCACAGTGGCAAGGAGGCACAAATGGTGACTGACAATGCAGAAAATATGATCAAGGCTCTTAATGATGGCTGATTTGTCGATGTGCGCTGCTTAGCTAATGTCCTTCATCTGGTGGTGAAGGCTGCAATTGGTAAGGAAACAACTGGTTGGTTGGCAACCATTCTTGAGTCTTGTAGGAAGATTGCTGGCCACATTCAACATAGTGTTAAGGACAGCCAGATCCTGAGAGCAGAGAAAGTCAGGCATTGAACAGTACTATCTCTAACAAGACATAGGGACTTTGGAGATACTGGATCACATTCTGGGATCATTAGGCACAGAAGATTGGTCAATGTTTGATGGATGGTTTTATTTTAAATCGGGAAGTAGTACCTGTTGGCCAACTACTTGAGGATGTTGGTGCACTTGTCAGGAGGCTCAATGAGAAACGGATGCATCAGTTCAATGAGATGTTACTCCACAAAAATTCCCTGACAGGCGGGAGGGATACATTGACTGACCAAGTGCTTGATATGCATAGGAAGAGATTTGTGTTACTTGAGGGAGAAGAAGAGCTGGAGGAGCCTGATATCGTGGCACCGACACTTTGCAGCATCAGCACTGCTCAATTCACTGGAGCCGGCACTGCTCAATCCACTGGAGCAGCTGCTTTATAAACTGAAGCCCTGGATAGTTTGATGTGACCCACTTAACTTTCCTCCAGGAAAAGTAGATCTGCAGAGATTTTGAAGCCTTACCTTGGCAAACCTTCTTTGTCCCCTGCGGCAACACTCAGATCTCGCGAGAGGAACCCGGCGGAGCTGCTGGTTGAGCTCCGCGGGTCCTCTCCTGCCTCCCTCCATGCTGCAGTGGGGAGGGAGGCTGAGAGCAGAGCCAGTGCTCGGATAGCGCCGGCTCTGCATGAGCCGACAGGGGAGATCCTGAGATCTCCCCTGCCGGTCTCACTCCATAGGCGTGCCGGGGGATTAGGGTGTGCCCAGGCACACCCGGCACACCCCGTGCGCACGCCTATGGTCACACCATGGACAGAGCATTAGGGGGCAGAAAATCTTTTTTTTGCCTAGAGCATCAAAAATCCTTGATCTGGCTGTATGTTTATTCACCTAAGGGTTTATATCAACTGCTAATTTTGCCACCTTCATTAATTATCCATTTGGAATAATGGGCATTTGAATTTCGGAAATTAGCAAAACTTTTAAAAAACTTTGGTTGAACCGAAATGCGAAAACTAAAAAAAACAACTAAACAAAACTTTTTCCCATGAACATTTCTAGTGGTCACTTCCTAAGAATTTGAAAACCCATTTTCCAATCTCCATTCGACCACCTTACCAGTAAGTGCTCCTACTAGCAATACATACCTTATAGATTGTAAGCTTTTTTTGAGCATGGCCTTCCTTTCCTCCCCGTTCTATTATTGTAAAGTGCAGCAGAATATGTTGACCTTACAGAAATTATAATCTTAAACATGGTAATGCTGTATATAATGTGTTGTATATGAGGATCAGTTAGGATGAAAAAGACTGATGGTATGGGGAAAAAGAGGCTGTCAGAAATATAGTGGACTTGAGTCCATACTCTAAGGCAGGGGTAGGCAACCTATGGCACGTGTGCCATGCACGTCACTCGCGGTATCTTTGCACGGCACTCAATGCTGCTAGAGCCAAACAGGCTTCTCTGGCCTTTCAGGAGTCCCAGTGGAACTTCAGATATTTGCTAATGAGAAAAGGTGGTGAAGGACAATCCTCATTTTATGCATTGCAGTACTTGTAAATGGGAATCCACACTGGAGTAGAGCAGCCTGTAGCAGCCATCACAGTTCCTGCCCTTGATCTGTACATGGCCAGCACGGTCCCTACTGGACCCCAGGGAAGTATCCCCTCATACAAATAATACAAACAGCTCACACACAAACACAACACTACTAACAAACTAAATACACGCACACAACCCCACAAGCAGCCTCTCACATGCAATAACCCAAGCAGCCCCACGCATACACACCCCACCAAACACACAATGTGATATATCATCCACAAACACAATTCCATAAGCAGCCCCCATAGACAGTCGACATTCATAGGTATCATACACAATACCACAAACTACTCATGAATATATACACTATAACAGCTCATATGCACACAAATACAATGATATAAACAGCTGCAGTATAAATAACAAAAGCAGAATACGGCAACATATACACCTCATTTAAAAAAATTTAGGACCGGCTTCACAATCTTAGTTTGGCACAGTACTGAGCGGAATAAAATGCCTGTGGCAATACTGCATCTTTGAATCTTGAATAATAGTCTGTGCATCAGAAGGAACCATAGTGGTTTATGCATTTAAATGAGAATTGCAAAGTTTAGTTCTAAAAAGCCAGATTGAAAACAATTTCCCAAGACAGCTAGTTTTCCAGTATGAATATTTCTAGCTTAAATGTTGCAGTTCTCTCAGTTTCTCCCAATTCTGAGTTCAAGTTAAAGTTCCCCTTTGACCACAGATCCCATACTATTATGTCATAATCCATTTTATTACTGTATCACTTACTTTATTACCTTAAAAAGTGGGACTTCTGTTTAATAAATTTAGTATGGGCGAAATTTTTTAATTAGTCTTGATGTATCATTAAATATATACACACTGCTATAAACAGTGTGTCCAACCCATAATTCAGAGCCGCTAGCACATGGACATTTTAATTATAAGGCAACATTTTTATTTTAGTTTATGGTTGCAAGTTATGTTTCAGTGAATCAGAGAATGTTTAGATATAACAAAAACACCCATAAATTACAAGTAATTGTTATTTATCTTCACAAAAGTAGCTGTTATTTTGCAACAACCATTGGAATTTTCCTTAAACTTATTAAATCACTTTTTGTTCCATAATAAAACACCTGAAAATAATCGGCTCTAATTGGTTGTTTAACCCCTTCAGGACGGAGTCAATTGTACACCTTCTGATCAAAACAAAAACTGGAATTTGCGCTGTATGTCTGTTCAACCGTAATTCACCTCTTTCATATTAAGTGCTTGTAATAACTGTCTGTGTGTTTATTTAATTGAATAAGAGATATATATAGATAGATAGATAGATAGATATTTCTTCTTGGGCCAAAAAATGCTCGCAACATTAATATATGTCTACATTAATGAAAAGTACTAATACGCAATCTGACGTTCTTTATAAAAAATATGCATTTATTCTACTTCAACAGCAAACAATAATATACTTAATAGATGGTATTTCTTAACGACGTTACAGAGAGCACCTCAGGACATCAGAGAGGAGAGCAAAATGGATCGTAGAAGGAAGAGAGCGTGGTCCTTTGTCCTCTGCCCTATATAGCCCAAATTACGTCATAATGTTTAGTTTAGACTCTGGCCGTATAAGGAAATTCCCCATATAAAGACCACCCCAAATCTCTTATACCGCAAATTCCAGAGATCTCATGGTACAGAATAGCAAACGCCATCTGTTCTGTTTAACCCATTAGACAGCCACGCCTTAATATGTATTTGAATAGGAACATATAGAATATGCATTATTTTACAGTGCTCCCACACTCATTATATATCATTTTGTTCAGAAGAAACAGGGCTTTAATTACTCATGAACTATTCATATATAAAACATAATTTATTATGAATAAAGTAAAAAAACTGTGAGAAATTAAGATTTTGAAACTAATTTGTAGTTCCACCTGACATTTTAGCTGTACATATCATAATACTGTTAGCTTTTACTGCAATAAAATGCACATATTTGTATTCAGCAACGTCTCACGAGTACAATAGTACCCCCCTTTAACAGGTTTTACGGTGTTTTGGAATGTTACACGGTCAAATATAGCACATTCCATTTTTCTGTTTTTTTGCAAATTTAAATTTGCCAGATTAGTAATGTTACCTTTGAGGCTGTATGGTAGCTAGGAATGAGAATTACCCCCATGATGGCATACCATTTGCAAAAGTAGACAACCCAAGGTATTGCAAGTGGGGTATGTCCAGTCGTTTTTATTAGCCAAAAATTCATATTTGGCCAGTGTTTGTGACTAAGTGGCTACTAAAAAAGACTGGACATACTCCACTTGCAATACCTTGGGTTCCTTACTTTTGCAAATGGTATGCCATCATGGGGATAATTCTCATTCCTGGGCTACCATACGGTCTCAAAGGCAACATTACCAAACAGGCAAATTTCAACGTGAAAAAAATGAAATGCAAGCCTTATATTTGACTCTCTAACTTTCCAAAACACCATAAAACCTATACATAGGGGGTACTGTTATGCTTGGTAGACTTCACTAAACACAAACGTTAGTGTTTCAAAATAGTAAAATGTATTACAACAACATCGTCAGTAAAAGCGCTGTTCATGTGTGAAAAATTCAAAAAACTTCACTTTTACTAAAAATATCATCGTTGTAATACAATTTACCATTTTGAAACACTAATATTTATGTTCAACAAAGTCTCCTGAGTAAAACAGTACCCCCCCATGTACAGGTTTTATGGTGTCTTGGAAAGTTACAGGGTTAAATATAGTGCTTGTGAATTACATTCTCTGCACTTTCTGCCTGGGTTGTCAGGCATGTCAATCAAATTTTAATTAATAAAATCACATAATTATGCCAAAAGATTATTTAAATATAGACTTCGAATTTTGAGATATAAAAGAAAATGTATTCCTACTTACCGTAATTTTCTTTTCCTGGTCATAGGCCATGGCAGCACAGCAATGGGTAGCTCCTCCCTATCCCTAACTAGACAGGAACGTGATTAAAACAGGAGGTATAAGTAACCCCTCCTACCCCTCCCACCCTCAGTCTTATTTCCAGCAATATCCCAGGGTGGGATCTTTGTGCTGCCATGGCCTATGACCAGGAAAAGAAAATTACGGTAAGTAGGAATACATTTTCCTTTTTCCTGGCCATATCCATGGCAGCACAACAATGGGTAATACCCAAGCAATAACCAAGGGAGGGAAAGAAGTACACAAGACTTCCAAAATATGAATGCAAATTGACAACCTACACACACCTCATAAAGACATTCAAAATGAAAAAACTGATTGCCCACTAATGGCACATTATCAAATTGACCAACTGAAATGTACCCAAAAAAAAAAAATGTCTGAAAATTGATTGAAGACCAAGCAGCCATTTACCTACAAGTTCCAGGGAAGCTTGGCCACCGATGCTCAAAAGGGGGGAAATGGCTCTAGAGTAAACATACCTTTAAGTACTGTAATCCCTAGGGCATAGTAGCCTAAAAAACTGCCAAGACTATCCACCTGCTGTTGGCTTTTATAGAGGCTTGAAGATCTTTATGGTCTATTAGTAAAGATAAACAGAAGAAATCCAGAAAGCAGATCTATAAAAATAGATCTTAAAGCATCTATCTAGGACAGGAGGAGAAAGTTTTATTATGGACTCTACATTCTATGCAAAATAGTGCTTGAGGATCTAGTATCTTTCAGTCCATGCCAATGTCACCGATAGAGCTAACTTAATATTAAGCAATTGTGGAGAGATATATTCTCATGGTTAAAAGGGGTGAAGATTTCAGAGCCCTAAAAAAAAACAGGAAAGAATTCCACGGAGAGCAATAGATAACCGTGGGATCATATAAATATACCGACAGAAATTTAGATACTTCCATATTAAAGCCCTTTCACGAAAAGAGAGATCAAAGAGTGCTGAGACATATCTCTGAGGGGATGTGGCCAATTCCTAGATAAGTCCTGGATTGAAGAACTTAGAACCTTCTTGGTAGAATGAATTTGAATGAAAACCTAATTAGAAATAGACCAGGAAAAAATGCATCTCAACTCTGTAAAGGTAGCCAAGGATATAAGTTTTCCATGGCCCTCAGAAGGGTATTAATTACTGTAGTTCAAAAACTCTTATATTTAAGCCCTTCTACATTATCGAAACCTTCAGAATGAGGAAAGTAGCACTGGACCTGATGGAAGAGGGAAGAACTATTGTGGGAGATCCCATGGAAGGACTGAAGAAGATAAGTAGAAGTGGAAACCATGGACTGGGTATTAATGTGGAACTGTCAGGATGATTGATATTGGCTCTTGCAACCTATGCAGAAGAGAAATGTTGGATGTTAATATGTGTAATATGCTAGTCTGAAAAGAGCTGTACCATGCCTTGGACCATGTCAAACTGTATTCCCAGCTATACCCTGAACTGGGATGGAGTAAGGTGACTACAGCAGACATTCATCTTTCACCATGAAGATGTAAAAATAAAAGTGATGTCAGGCAAAGGATACATGGCAATAAGCATCCTGCAAATCTATAGACATCCTCCAATGTACTAGGAATACTACCGTTATAAATAAGAATGTTCAAGCATCCTGTAAATTAGAATGGATCTCCAACACCTGTTAGAAACAGATTATTTGTGTTGTAGTTGCTTTTTTTTTTTAAAAAAAAATCTCACAATAGCTTCCTCTAATTGAAGGGTAGTCATGAGATTTACAAAGCATCTCTTTTTACCTTTTCTCTTCCTCTGGTAGAATAATGACATATACAAGCTGTTGTAATTCCTACACCGTTCACCTGATTTGGATGTAAATACCCTCAAATTAAAGCTGAAAGTCTGCAGTTAAAGCACATATTGTTTGTTTCATTTCAAACCCATTGTGTTGGTGTATAGAGCCAAAAAGATTAGAATTGTGTCAATATCCCAATATTTATGGACCTGACTGTATATATATATATATATATATATATATATATATAATATTTATATAGCTTATATATATGTAACTTCATTCTAAGTGTATTTTAATACTAATATAAGTACTTATATTAATATTAGTTCCACAGCCAGCTATAGGGGGCCATTTGATCGCTCTTTGAGCTGTTGGAGGGCTGCCTGGGCTGTCAGGCAGTCCTCCCGAAGAGGATCTCGGCGGAGGTAAGTCCACCGGAGCTCCTTGGGTAGAAAGCTGTTACGGTGTTCTTTGCTGCCGCAAGGGCTTTAGAGCCCATTATAATGGGGACGGCATAGAACGCCGTAACGCCGTTAAGGGGTTAAAATCTTTAAAATGTCACATCATTTTTTTGGTTTGTGCATTCTGAAGCTAACCTTTACTTGTAAAAAAAATATTTTTGTAATTTTGATGTGCTGTAGAAATTACTTATGTGTCTAGTCTCTAAGCAATTAAATTGTCAACGTCAGGAAACATTACAGGTTAGTTACTAAATGGAGAATTCAAAGATAATTACAAATTAAAGGCTAGAGTAGCCAAACTGAAAGCATAGCTGACTTAGATAATTTTTCCAGTTCAGCTATTTTGACTTTAACTTTTAAATTTGAACATTATAACTGTTACACTGTTACATATGTTAAATAGAAGCGGCCCAGAACAGAACCCTCAGGGACACCACTTACCAACTCTCTGTATTTTTAAAGGACCACTCTAGGCACCCAGACCACTTCAGCTTAATGAAGTGGTCTGGGTGCCTGGTCCAGCTAGGGTTATCCCATTTTTTTATAAACATAGCAGTTTCAGAGAAACTGCTATGTTTATAAATGGGTTAATCCTTCCCCCCAAAGCCTCTAGTGGCTGTCTCATTGACAGCCGCTAGAGGCGCTTGCGTGATTCTCACTTTGAATGTCACAGTGAGAGGTCGCAAGCGTCCATAGGAAAGCATTGATAATGCTTTCCTATGCGACCGGCTGAATGCGCGCGCAGCTCTCGCCGTGCTTGCGCATTCAGCCGACGGGGAGGAGAGGAGGAGGATCGGAGGAGGAGAGCTCCCTGCCCAACGCTGGAAAAAGGTAAGTTTTACCCCTTTTCCCCTTTCCAGAGCCGGGCGGGAGGGGGACCCTGAGGGTGGGGGCACCCTCAGGGCACTATAGAGCCAGGAAAACGAGTATGGTCCTTTAAGCCAATGTTCTACCCAGGAACAAGAATTTTCCTGTAATATCTTTTAGTTTAAACATTAACCTCTTGTGTGGAACTGTATCAAATGCCTTGGCAAAATCCAAGTAGATCACATCCACTGCAACACTCCAATCTATACTTTATTTACATCTTCGTATAATGCAATTAAGTTAGTTTGACATGACGTATGTTTCATAAAACCATGCTGATTATTGCTAATAACAATGTTCTTCTCAAATAATCCCAGAGTATTATTCCTTAATAACCTTTCTTTTGTGTTTTTTCTCCATTATTGGGAAGTCTAAATTAAATAATTAAAGGGAAGGTGTGAGTATAACAGTTTCATGAATTAAATCAAATATCAGGGATACTATAAATGTCTTGGTATCGTTTAGTATCGGGCATGTATACCATATATGGAATATTGTGCCAATCTCTTTCTGACATCGCCAACATAGAGGCGAATAGGCTTCATAGATTTTGTGTAGTTTTGAAGGGACCTGGTACCATCTATATAAGATCTTTAGGTGAAGTTCTACCAGAGATATGCAATGTATATATATTTTTTTATTTGATAGTGGTTTGGTACTATTCATATGGGGTTTAAATTACTTTCAGAGCCTTTTCCCATTTGTCTATTGGTGAAATTTTTATAACGTCATCCTCCCCATCTAAAACTTTAGAAGATTTAGTTATTAAACCTCTATTTCCTACTTTATCCAAATATCTGAATATAGGGTGTTCAAAATATATATTTTTAAATTAAGATAGTGTTTAATCCTTAATTATCGAAAGGTATCACTAAAGGGTATATTGTATTTAGTTTATTTAGTATTAAGCACGGAAAACTAATCAGAGCTTTATCAACAATTTTATTTATCCCCAATAGCCTCCATTTATGTATATCCAAATCAATCAGGTCGTATTGTAAAGTTTCTATAGGAGCATATATACGGATATAAGGATATAAGGAGTCTGAAAGATTAAGTTTGCTTTTCAACTTTTTTAGCACATCTAACATATCCACTATTATTTGATTTTGAGGTTTTCTTTGCTTGATTTTAATTATATCTTCTGACCAGAATACAGTATTTACATTTCCACATGAACTGTTCTCTTGTTCTATTTGGTACCAGGCGTTATTCTGAATATTTGGGTTAGACCACAACATTACACTGGCAACTTATATATTGGGGAATATTGGGGAATATATTGGGGAATATTGGGGAATGAGATACCGTCTTTGTCATATTTACATTAATTCAAGATCTTTTGAGATATTCTTGGGCGTTTATTTGCCCAAATAAAGTTCGAAAATAATTTTTGGAATTGTATTACCTTATCATTACTTAATCTAAAGGGTAAAGATCTAAATAAATATAACAATTCCAGAATAGAATACGCCTTCACTATATTTAGGCACCCCAGCCATGAGATCTCAGTTTTGGTCCACTTGGTCAGTTGCTGATTAATAGAAGAATATAGATTATCATAGTTACAGCGGATTATATTCTGACTATTAAAAGATAATATAAGACCAAGACACTCAAACTCCGGGTTCCAATTAAACCAAAATGTGGATTTAAGTAAAGATAGTTCAGCCTCAGGTAAATTTTTAACCATAATTTGAGTTTTCTTTATGTTAATTTTATAGTTTACGATAGCTCCATATGTTTCAGTTATTTTTAAAACTTATGGAATAGAGATTGCGGGCCTCGCCAGGGACAGAAGCACATCATCCGCTAATAGAGAAATTTTATATTCCCGATTGGTTGATTTAATCCCAAGTACTTCTTTGTTGTCTCTAATCATAATAGCCAATGGTTCAATAGATAAGATATAGAGTAATGGGGCCTATGGGCAGCCTTGCCTCGTGCCATTTTATATTGGAAATGTAGATGATTCAAAAAAGGGATTTAAAATTTTAGTAGTTGCTACTATATATAATGACATGATTTTATCTTTAAAGGGTCCTCAGAATCCAAATTTATTTAATACTCTATCTAAAAACTTCCAGTCAACCCTGTCAAATGCCTTTTCTGCATCCAATGCGAAAATGGCCAATTCTGAATTCATAAGATTGCTTTTAATAATCAAATTGAGTATTATACGGATATTATCTGTCCCTGGTGAAACCCGACTGGTCTACCACAACTATATCAGAAATAACTGCTTTCAATCTGTTTGCTAAAATGTGAGAATACATTTTTAAATCTAGATTTATTAAGGAAATCAGTCTATAATGTATTGTGTTCGTGGAATCTTTTAGTGGTTTAGGAATCAAAATAATAGATGCTAACAGTATCTCTTTAGGGAACGGATTAGTAGTTGAGACATCTGTAAAAACTTTCAGTAGTATAGGGGCCAAAATATCAGCAAAAATTCTATAAAATAACGTTGAAAAGTCATCCGGTCAGTTTTTCTGGAGAGATTTCCAGAATTTCCAGAATAGCAAGTTTATTCAGAAACCCATCTATTTACAAGATTGACACCTTAGGATCTGGTATATTATATAAAGCGTAGAAGGAGTCTACAAAGGCCTAAGATATTTCCTTAGAGTTTAAAAAGCATTTATCGCCTACTATTATTTTTTTTCATAGTTTTATCTATAAGTATTTTTTAATCTGTTCGTAAGAACTTTATTAACTTTATTATTGTTGTGATACCATTTTTGCTTGAGAAAAAATAATAGATTTATTCGCCTCATCCAAGAGCTTTTATTAATATAATGTTTAAAGCATATAATTTCATTAGTGATATCTAGGGTTGTTTGTGACTTATTTTCTCTTTCAAACTTAGCCAACATAATATGTAGTTAAGAGATACTTTCTTCTTTTTTTTTTTCTTTTGACTCGAGTCTGCTTTTATCAGAACCCCTCTAACAAAAATTTTAAATGAGCACCAAACTGGATACTTCCCCATTATCATTAATTTGAATAAAGTGCTTCATTTCTGCAGCTAATTCAGCAGGTACCTTATCAATTTGTAGAAGACTTTAATTCAGTCTCCATCTGTTTCTGATTTTGAAAGGGGATGGAGATTTAAATGTTAAAAAACTGGGGCATGATCAGATAGGATAATTGAGCCAATCTTGCAATCCATAATCTAACAAAGCAGGACTAACAAAAAAAAGTAAATCTGAGAATAGGTCTAATGGACATGAGAAAAATAGGTATAATCTCTCGATTGTGGGTTAAAGGTTCTCCAACAAGCGAAGAGGGAGAGTTCTTCAGCAAAAATTCATCAAATTTATTTGCAGCTGTTTTAATTTTTGGGTCCCATTATTTGTTATTGTGTTTGCTTTTATCTAGTTTTAAGTTGGGAACACAGTTGAAATAACCTCCAAAAATTAACATTTCTACACTTAACCGTATCAATTTTATGAGCACAATCTTCCAGGAAACCCACTGAGAAATCGTTAGGAACATATACATCTACCAAAGTAAATATTATGTCATTTAACTTGGCAATTAAAAGTAAAAATCTACCATTTATATCAATTTCCGAATTTATATATTCAAATTTAAGATTTTTTGATAAAACAATAGCCACTCCTCTTCTTTTATGATTACCTTCAAGATTGGCATAGTATACTACTGGAAAATAATTAAAGTGCCATAATTTTTCAGGAGGACATATCCAATAAGTTTCCTGGATGAAGGCTATATCTACCTTATTTTCCTTTAAAAATGTACTCCCCCATTTCTGGTGTGAATACACATCTAAGTGTCATCTAAAGCCATCATACCCTCTATAGTCGAGTCCCAATAATGCAGTCCTACACCAATAACAAACATAGAACAAAATTAAACAAAGAAAATAACATATCTTCTTGTTTAACTGAAACCTGCAACTTACTACTATGAAATTTTTTTTTAAAAATTGAATGATTAATAATAAATTAATATTAGTGATTTGCAGTGGACTGCCTTTCTCTTTATAATTTTATAATTCATGTAACTAAATAGTTCTTGTACAGATCATTAAAGTAAAAATATAAGTAACAATAGGGTGTATAGAGTCAACCTCGGACCATGTATAAGGTCCTATAATAAAATAATATATTTACTTCCGATATTGAAGGAGTAGATTTGATTTTTACTCTGGTTATTGATCAATAACATATCAAGCTTAGGCCCCATCAAAGGTCATAGTTCAACTTGCATTAAATCCTTCATTAGCTGGGAAAAAAATAAATATATATTTAATAACTAAATAAATTTTAATTGTATAATTGATTCTTTAGCAGATACTGGATCTTTAAAGGGACACTATAGTCACCAGAACAACCACAGCTTATTTAATTTGTTCTGTAAGGCTTTTTGCTGTAAACACTGTCTTTTCAGAGAAAATGCAGTGTTTACATTACAGCTTAGTGATAACTTCACTGGTCACTCCTCAGATGGCTGTTAGAGATCCTTCCTGGGTCATGGCTTTCTAAAATGCATCCAAACATTCAGTATCGCCTCCCTCTGCATGCAGACACTGAACTTTCCTCATAGAGATTCATTGATTCAATTTATCTCCATGAGGAGATGCTGATTGGCCAGGGCTGTGTTTGAATTGTGCTGGCTCTGCCCCTGATCTGCCTCCTTGTCAGTCTCACCCAATCCTATGGGGAAGCATTGTGATTGGACCAGGCTACCACTTCTGATGATGTCAGCACACTGCTTGTTTTTCTGAGTCTAACAGCATGCTTCTGGCTTGAATACAGTAAGATTTTGCTATATTTATGGGAGCATGAGAGGCCCAGGGGGGCTAGATGGTGGTTTTAACACTATAGGGTCAGGCATACATGTTTGTGTTCCTGACCCTATAGTGATCCTTTAAATACATGTGAATGATCTTGATAAAATATTACTAGAGCAACTGGAAAATTCCATTTATATCTAATGTTCTTGGATCTGAGCGTTGCTGTAATTTTTAATATTGTGTAATTGACTAAGGTATTCCTCTGATTTTGACATTGTTTCTTCTGGATCAATCCTCTATATCCATTATTTATTCTCCAGTTTGTCGACTCTATCTTCTAATAGTTTGTTCGATGAAGACAAACTTTTATTTTCTTCTTGTAATTTCTGAATTGTATGAGTTTGTTCTGTTAGAGTACTGGTAATTTGTGTAAGCTTTCCTCTCTCATTCACTCCTTATTCTTATATGACTTTCCCTTTAATATATTTGGTATACTGTCTTCTTATAGCACTTGATTTATCTACCCCTTCTCAATCCCCCTTCTCCTTGCTTTATCCAAGCACAAAACCAACCAAAAAAATTAATAAATAAGATTAGCAGGGGGAAAATTTGAAAAGTAAGCAAGTCTCACCAAGTCTCAGTTAAATTCAAATAAATATAATGCAGTAAGGGATCCTTAGTAACGTATAGCTTCAGGTGCAGAAATAAAAGCCAGCGCTAACTGATGCACCGTGTGGCTGTGAGGTACACAGATAATTAATTTTCAAATGAAATCCCGGTAGGGCAAAAAGCTAATTTAGCTTAGCTTTTAACTTATTGATAACATTTCAAATACATTTCCTGGTACATGGGAATATATATAGGTAATGCTATCAATTACAATTAGAATTTTGGCACCAAAATGACGTCATCAATGTCAGACTGAAAATTAGTACATATCACACAAAACATATTCCAAGCTTATTTTAATAACAGTTGTAGTTTGGGAGAATGGGTATTATTAATTGCAAGTAAAAACAAGGGTAATTTCTATGTTTAAACTGATTTGCTAGTCTGATAGTGTAATTTCGCGTCACGTGGTCATCTGCCACAATAGCTTATGGGGATTGTATCCCAGGCGTGGCTCGACCTTCTAGAGCGTCTGGCTGAAGCGACTGAGGCGGCTCGTGGGACGTGTGTATGTGTTTGCACGTCCCACGACTAGAATCACGGAGGATGTAGTTTAAAGGGTACCGTTCATACCCGGAAGTGCCTGCAGAGAGTAACTTCTTTTGTTTATACAGGAGGAGATAGCTGTAACGTAATTCCACCCCAGTGAAGGGATAGATTATGGGCAAAGTATTTGAGCCAAGATGTTTTTTAACCAAGAAGTTTTTTAACAAAACAATATTAGGGATTGGGGGCGTGGCCTACCATAATCTGTCCAACAGGGCAGATCCTGACGCCATCTTGGATGAGGGAACTTAGAGAGATGGTAGGCAGAGAAATAAAATAATAATAATAATAATAAAATAATAAAAAAATAAAAAAATATGTACTGGACTCCTGCCCCGCTCCACCGGATACTCCCAATGGTATCAGACACCTGTTGGAGGTGCAGAGTGGGCGTGGGGACCACGCAAAATATATGGTGGGATTGCCCTAGGATATACTGGAACGAGATCAAAACAACGGCGGAGATTTTGGGGAAGTCACCGGACTTCAATCTCGCAAGTGTTTTTCTGCACTCAACTAAACTACCCATCTCACAATATAAAAAATCAATCCTGCGACACTTGGTCAACGTGACCAAATTGTTGGTGCCGGCCCTCTGGAAACAGACGAAATCCCCCAACGACCGCCCAATGGCTGCTGAGGGTGGAGGACATCCTTGCCACCAAGGAGAGGCAGGCAGAACTCTTGGACCAAAGCGACAAAAAACGGAATGGTGGTGACAGTGGTATGTGTATCTAGCAAGAACAAGATATTGACCTGGGGGGGGTGGGGAGGTGCTGGCTGAGGCGGGGCAGCCTGCAGGCGCCCTCCGGCAGTTTCTCTTCCTCCTGCGCCCTCCTTTCCCCCTGCATTCCCCCACTGGGCCCCCGTACTGCATCATACTACTCCTTTTCTTGCCTTCTATTTGTTTCTTCTTGGCTATCTTTTCCTTTATCCAGACAGATCCCTTCCCTTCTTCCAACCAAATTATTCATCACGGCACAGTGGAAAGACCCATTGTGGACGCAGGGGACACCCCTGAGATGGAGCACATTTGTGTAACAACCCACACAACACCCACATGCCTGACAAAAGTCTCATCACCAACATCCTAATCCATTTTGCATAAACCACTATGACTATACTAGTAGCATTTAAAACAATTACACATACAACATGCCCATACTTACAAACCTAGGAGGAACTCAAACACCCCTTCTTTAGGGAGTAGCCAGTATAGAATATGACAACTTAACTTTTGCTACGCACGAAAGCTGAGCACACATCCTTGTCTATATCATTATGCACCAGTTTTCCATGTTAATGGACACAATCTATAAAAAAAATCTACACAAATCTATAAAAAATACAAGATAAGTGAAAAATTTTAAATATAGAATAAATAGAAATTTGAATTAAAAATAAAATTAATTAGGAATTTTTATATGAATAATTAAATTAATATGAAATGACAAAAAGTTAAAAAGATCACATTCTGCATTTAGACCATCTGGGGAGAGAGTTTTTAACTGATAGAACCAATTCATTTCTTTTTTGCCTAAGACTTTTCTCATGTCTCCACCTCTCCAGGGTATAATGCATTTTTGGATTCCAATGCATTTTAATAGTTTCGTATTTTTATTGTGTGTAATAAAATGTTTAGACACTGAGTGGTTTTCTTACCCTTTGGTTATGTTGTGAAAATGTTCCGCTAGTCTAATCTTTAGACATCTTGTAATCATACCTATGTATTGTAGTCCACATGGGCACTCCAACATATATATTAAATTGTTTGTGTTATGTCCAATAAAGTCCTTAATTGGGTATGGTTTACCTGTATTGGTGGAGAAAAACTGAGTTGTTTTAGATATTATTGCTGGGTCTGTATTTCTGTATTCTATGCATTTATTGCATTTCAATAAACCTTTTGGTTTGGATAAAAAACATACTTTGTTTTTTGTATCTTTTTTAGTATATTTTTTGTAAGGATGCTCCTAAGGTAAGAGGTCCTCTAAAGATATTAGGTCTTTCTGGAATTTGGTCTTTAAAAAGGTCATCTTGTTTCAAAATAGGCCAGTGTTTTTCTATTATTTTTTTCATAGTCTTGGTTTTATTGTTAAAATCCAGAATAATTGGTAACACTGGAAGGTCACTTTTGTTTTCATATTATCTTTTATATTGTAACAGATCTTTCCTATCTTTATTTTTTACTGTATTAAAAGCTTTATCAAGATTTTCCGATGAGTAATTTTTTTCAATAAATGTATTTTATAGGGTAGTTTGGGATTCAAAATGGTCTATTTTGGAGCAGTTTTGATGAAGACGCAATAATTGGCTCTTTGGAATTCCTTCTAACCATGATTTGTGGTGGCAGTTTGACTGTGCTAAAAAGGTGCTTGTGCATACTTTTTTTTTTTTTTTAAGTTTTGGTTGGAATAGACCCAACTTGGATAAAGATATTAAAATCTAAAAAGTTAACTGATGTGTTGCTGTATTCTGTGGTTAGAATTATGCCTCTGTTATTAGAATTAAGGTGATAAAAAAAAACATTTAAGAGTTATATCTGTGCCTTGCCAAATAAAAAACAGGTTGGCAATATAACGGAAGTAGGAAACCAGGTTTACCCGCCAGAGGCACCCTGATTGGTTGGCTTACCAGCCAACCGATCAGAAAGCGCTTGGTCATATTGCAAATAGCTATTATAGTGTGGGAAAGCCTAAGAAAGGACTTTTCCCCGCTATGGGCACTCATTCTGCAGCAACTGCCTATGGGTGAAGATGAATTATTTTTGGTTGCAGCTTCAGACAAGAGATCAACAACTTTTACAAGCTGTTTTTTAATGTACCCCAAAAGAAAAAGTGCATAATTAAGTTAATGCATGTTTTCATTGGGGTATATCTACCAAACAGTGGTTTGGTTTTGTATTTTGTCAGTGGAGTATCCCTTTATTTTTTAGACCTCACACACAAGTTTCTCTGGGGAGTATCCTGGGTAGTATCAGTTCCACAGTACCTGCTAGAATCCAAGATGATGGTACTTGCCAGTAGTACCCTGGATGGAGCATTTCCCAGTTTATTGTGAGGTGCTAGCACCGTAAGACCATGCTTTGTTCTCTACAGCATCCCTATGTCAACACTGCCTCTTTAAAAGAACACTACAGATTTAGGATACATGGCAGGGAGACTGGCTGTCTCAACTCCCGATAACTTGCCATGCCGCTGGGGAGGGGAGGGGTTACTCTTCTCCCTGAAAGACCAACTGTTGCTGGGGAGATGTCTGAGTGGTTAAGGACCCCATGCCAGGGGGTTGGGGATCACTGCCCAGCATCCGAGGACTACACTGGTGGAGTACCTCCGCCAAGTCCGCTTGCTAGCCACTTGCAGGGACCTTGGAACGCTCCAGTCGTAGTCGCCACAGCTTGACTGGGGTCCTTCTGGAGCTTTTGCATCCAACCAGGCAGCAGATCTCCTTCCAGGCAGGTATCGTTCCCTCTGCCTATTCCGCTGCAGACCATCTTCCAGGCAGGTATCATCCCCTCTGTCTATTGCATTGCAGCTCTGCTTACAGTGATTATAGTTATTGCCTTTACAAAGGCAGTTGCAGCTCTCAGGCCTAGTTCTCTTGATTTATCCCAGGGATAGAGGGATCCTGAAACTAGTAAACAAGTGTGAAAACTCTGTCAGTAGGATCCCTAAAAATCCACACAGGACACAAGTTCCAAAAGAACTGACATCCAAAACTTTATTTTTCTCTGGTCTAGCCCATAGACTTATTATATGTAGATTGCTCTGACAACTTAAATAAAATACAAATAACCAAATCATAGCAGACAACATACAGCAACTTATTATAACACAATGACACATTTATAAAGGGGTGGGGAAGATAATAACACAAAATATCTCTCCTGCCTGCAGAATTAGCAATATGCAAATCTACCCAAATATGCAAATTAGCAAACCTTGCTATTCATGTAGTGTATATAGCTGTTGCTGCAACCAACAGAGGGCGCTATACAGGCTCCATAGCCAAATCAAACACAAACAATTAACAATAAATACATAATACACATACATTACACACCACATGCACCTACAATGGGCACAGGGTGACTTAAACATAGGAGTCATCCATGGATCTAATTGAAGTGTCCATCTTATGTTCCCAGTGATGGTGACTACTATTTAACTAAAATAATAACACATATCATAATTATTCATGTATTTGCTTAACCATCAATGTTTGCTAAATGAAGTGGTTAAATTAAATATCATTAACAATACGTGTACTTTAATAGTTTGCCCTCTAACCTGAGTTCCCTGCATGCGTTATACCTTTTCTGATGCTTGGTGATGCACACCTGGTTACACCCCCTGGTTACATCAGAGCTTCAGAAACCAGATGCCAATCCCACTTGTGTCAGCTGAGCACTCTCTGCCAATGAATGACCCACTGTGCCAAGGGTATGCACAGAACTGACATTAGCCAACCTGGAACTCTTATTCCAGACTGGCGACTAATGTACTAATGACACTGCTGGAGGTGGAGTTACACCTCTGACAGCAATATAAGATATATCAGTATGTGCCTAGTTTCATATTGAACATTTGAGCATACAGACTCCATGCACAATGGCCTCTTCAAATTACTGAAGTGATCATAATGCTTGGAGTAACCCTTTAAGGTAAGGCATTCATTGTGTTAGACATCCTACGTCTCCCAGTAGTTCTGGGAAACTCATGCATTTGTCAAGCTCCTTGACACCCGCTCATACAATATCCCCGAATATACACACACAATTTCATGTGTGTGTGATTTCTATTATATTGTATGCAATTTGCTTTCCCTGACCCCCCATAATATTTGCTAAACAGGGGCCCTGGTCGGGTGCAGGCCCTGTAAGAGCCCACAGGGGGCCTGTGATATCAGCCAGCAGGGAGAAAGTTAGAACCATTTCCTCCCAGTTTCATAAAGAACCGCACGGTAGTAGTGGAGGGAGGAGGCTAGAGGGAGCAGAGGAGAACCGAGCAGCATGGAGACAGAGGAGAGCCTGGAGTGAGCTGCTGCTGCATGCTCACTCCCATCAGCCTCAGCGAGGACCAGGCCACTCCCCCTCCTCTCCCCAGCAAGCCACCCTTCTGGACAGAAAGGTAAGCTAATTAGAGGGTGGCTGCAAATATATAAACATGTCTGACGTCATATTGTGTGCATGCCAATATGTCTGTTTCTGAGTGTATGCGCCAGTGTGTGTATCTGAGTGTGTGCTTTTATCTGTGTGTCAGTGTGTGTATCTGAGTGTATGTGCCAGTGTGTGTATCTGTGTCAGTGCGTGTATCTAAGTGTATGTGGCAGTGTATGTAACTGAGTGTGTGTCAGTGGGTTTACCTGAGTGTGTGTCAGTGTGTATCTCTGAGTGTATGTGCCAGTGTGTGCATCTGTCCGTTAGTGTGTGTATCTGTGTTTGTGTTTCAGTGTGTGTATCTTAGTGTGTGTCAGTGTTTGTATGTGCCAGTGTGTGTATCTGAGTGTATATGTCTGTGTGTTTCAGTGTGTGTATCTGTGTGTTAGTATGTATCTGAGTGTGTGAATGCACCAGTGTGTGCAACTGTGTGTGTATGTGCCAGTACTTGTATCTGTGTGTCAAAGTGTTCATGTGTGTGTCTGTGTGGTGGGGGAAGAGGGTAGTGTGGGGTTACGCAGAAGCTGGTGAAGCGACCTACCTGAAATGCATTTTGCATGTTGGGATGTCTGTGTACATAGATTTACAGAATAACACAGGAAATTTGTAAGTTTATATTATATTTCACAGTGAGAAAGTACATGTTATCTTTTGCTGACACAAGATTAATTAGCTTTAATTAATTTACCAAAATGTAAATATAGCTTCATGATACATAACTAATCCATGTTTTGTGATGAATAATCTTTGAACTATAATCTACTTTTAATAGGATACATTTATAGATTTTTGATTCAAAAAAGCACTTTATCAAAAGAAATACAATTTAAATAAATACAATTTGATTTAAATAATAAAATTTAAAAAGTCTGATTTTTTTATTTTCATTTTCTTAGATAATTGATTTTTATCCACCTTAAATCAGATGCCTATAAATCCTATAAATTCCCTGAAAAAAATCTCAAGTGCATGTATATCCTTATCCATGTCTAGTGGTCTCCTATATACCGTACCCATGCGTAGGATAAATACAATTCAAGAATCTTGCATGCAGTATTGCATGCGTATGTATATAGGATGTTTTGTGGCGTACACACGATCCATGGGGCCCTGGTGCGAAAACTGATTTGTGCGCCCCCTGGCGGTTACACCGCACAGGTTGGGGCCGCAACACATGGCGGCGGGCACCCGGTCACAGGGGTCCGCAGGGCGGCTGGGCCCCCTGTAATGACGGGGCTGGTCGCCGTTGCGACCTCTGCATGTACACCACTGTACACACACATATATACATACATACAAACACACACACAGAGACAAATATATACAGACACACACATACATCCAAACACATACATACATACAAACACACATACATACAGATACATACAAACAAACACATACACATATATACAGACACACACATACATACAAATACAGACACACACACACACACATACATACAAACACAGGCAGATAGACACACACATACAGACACACATACAGAGAAACATTCATACAGACACACACACATACATACAAACAAACAAACACATATACAAAATATTTTAGTCACCATCCTGTTTCCTACCTATTAGATGGAAGAGGGTGACTTCCCTGGGGTCCAGTGGTGGCTCAGCCTGATGGGAGTCAGAGTTCCAAGAGTTCCTCTCTTCCTCCCGTGCGGCTCCCATTGTAAGCTGGGAGGAGTGTTGGGGCACCTGGTCGCAGGGGTCCGCAGGGCAGCAGGGCCCCCTGGAGTAAGGTGACCAGTCGCAGCTGTGACCCCTGTGACCGTGGTATGTACACCACTGGGGATGTTTGTTTTATTCTGTGCGGTTATGGGCTTCCTGTTATGTTATATATGTGTGTGCACTGTTTATGGTAGTTATGTATGTGAAGTTGTCCGCGGTTTTATGGGTATGCATGTGAACTGTTTGTGGTATTGTGTGTATGTGTCTGTTGTGCTATGTAAGTGTGTCTCTAGTGTTGTGTGTATATGAGCTGTTTGTAATATTGTTTGTGTTTATGTGGGCTGCCTTTTGTGTTATATATTTATAGAAAATGCAAAATCTTTCACTGAATACTCTGTGATATTAAAATTTCACCAAAAAAAACACCAAGTGCCCTTAGTGAATTAACAATATAGATAACTTCCCTCTAAGTTGTAGATTATGACCCGAAGATCTCCTCAAATCTTCCACAAACACATAAATTATATATGTATGATGTTATATGCTTATTTGTAATTCCTAGTAGTACTTATATGTGATGTGGGCAGTCTGGCATATTAACAGAGCAGAACAGAAGGAGTTAACAAGTGGACTGTCTGGCACCTCACACCACTACTCACTGTATGAACAATGAGGGATACTGCCATTCATTTGATTTTCTTTTCTTTTTTTTTTCTTCTTATGTGGCATCGGAAAAAAGAAGACTAGCAAAAAATACATTGTATAACATTTTCAGGTCTTATGTGATGGCACCAAATTGCTTCATTAATAAGCAAGTATAATTACTATCTATCTATCTATCTATCTATCTATCTATCTATTTCATCTTTTGTTTTGTTCTAAAACAGTCCACATTAGGAAAAATAAAGACAAGCAGCCGTTAGCTGACATTACATAATAATGATGCTTATTGTGTACTAATGTTTGACCTAATGGCGTGTCTGTGTTTTCCTTTTGGCACAAGTGTTCTACCATGTGATCTAGCCTCTGATGTTAACATTTATTGCAGTGTTTGTGCAGAGATACAGAGTGTTAGTGATCACCATAAAACTGGTTTGCCTTACTGTGCCATCTGAACCTGTATCTTTGTTCCATTCAAGAAAGAATACAGTTTTTGGAGATGAGGCATTAACAAAGGAAACCTTCTGGATCCTATCCTGATCAGATTGTTCCTAGCTGCTATCATGGACAACAAGGAAGAGAAGAAGGAGCGAAGACAGGGATACTTTGCAAGGTCAGTGATTCCTTTAGAAATATACAATAGGCACTCATAGTAAGAAATGCAAAGGGCAAGTTTGCTACTTATGCTGTCTGACCTGATCTTGGCAGAGGGCCTAAACTTTATGTGCAGTTCATATGAAATGGAGCAGATGCTTAGGCACTCAGCCTTTATGGATTTCTGTAAAATGGTTTCTTGAGTGATTTTGCTCATTCAATTCCATTACAGTAATAAAGAATAGAAACTATCTGTGTTATGCTGCATAGCCATTTTAACTCCCTCACTGCTAAAGTTATTCATTCATTCATTTCAATCCATGTGGGCTTTTTCAATTAGCATAGCCAGTTCCAGAAATATTTTTTGGGAGTTTATTCACTATAATCTGAATTTTATTAAGTTAAAATTTGAATGGCAAATTTAGGCTAAAATAGTCGAGCTATGAATAAAGGTAAGCTGCTGAAATTTTAAAGTCAGCTGTTTTAGCCTGACATTTGTGGATATCAGAGTTCAGTTCAGAGTACTAAGTCCCCCTTAGCATTACGCCTGAGAGGTGTAATGTATTCAAAATTCTAGCATCATTGCAATTTGGCCTTTATCATACTCAGGGTGCTATAAATGTCATGGTGTTCTTATGTTGGGTGATTCAATGTGGCATAAGGTCTGTTTGAACCAGTTGTTAGGAAATATATAAGTTGTTATGTATAAAATAGCTTGGTTCACAATTATTATATTTTTTAAAATGCATAGCACAGATTTGCTTGTCTTAATTGTTTATTACTTTTCATCAGGGCCGGCGCGTCCATAAGGCGGCACAGGCGGCCGCCTTAGGGCGCACCGGCCCGGGGGCGCAAATGTCCGGGTGACCGGCAGGAGGGAAGCGCACAGCTCCCCTCTCCTGCCGGTCACTTCTTGTAGCGTGGCCGAGCGCCACCCTGCAGTGCCGCGGACTGTGTGGAGGGGGCGGGGATATGAACGTCATATCCCTGCTCCCTCTGTAGCACACAGCGCGGCTGGCGCCCAGCAGGGGCGGAGCTACGGGCCCCCTTCTAATCAGCATGGGAGGAAGTCCTCCCAACAAGACTAGGGCAGCAGAAGGCAGAGAGGAGGGGGCTGGGCAGGACCAGCTCCTCCAACTCCCAACTACCTCAGGCAGCACTTTGGATCCCAGGTAAGCCCCCCTCCTGAACCTGTTGGTCAGTTTGTGTGTGTGTATCCATGTCTGTCAGTGTGTGTGTGTGTATCTATGTCTGTCAGTGTGTGTGTGTGTATCCATGTCTGTCAGTGTGTGTGTGTATCCATGTCTGTCAGTGTTTGTGTATGTATATGTCTCTGTCCGTGTGTTTGTGTGTATCTAAATGTCTGTCAGTGTGTGTGTATGTCTGTTAGTGTGTCTTTGTGTATGTCTATCATTGTGTATGTGTGTATCTGTATGTTTGTCAGTGTGTTTGTATATGTCTGTCAGTGTGTGTGTATCTATGTCTGTCAGTGTGTGTGTATGTATATGTCTCTGTCCGTGTGTTTGTGTGTATCTAAATGTCTGTCAGTGTGTGTGTATGTCTGTCTGTTAGTGTGTCTTTGTGTATGTCTATCATTGTGTATGTGTGTATCTGTATGTTTGTCAGTGTGTTTGTATATGTCTGTCAGTGTGTGTGTATCTATGTCTGTCAGTGTGTGTGTGTATATAAATGTCTCTGTCCGTGTGTCTGTGTGTATCTAAATGTCTGTCAGTGTGTGTATGTCTGTGTGTCTTTGTGTGTTTGTGTATGTCTATCATTGTGTATGTGTGTATCTGTATGTCTGTCAGCGTGTCTGTATGTCAGTGTATGTTTATCTGTATGTCTGTCAGTGTTTGTGTGTATCTGTATATGTGTGTCTGTCTATCTGAATGTGTATCAGTTTGTGTATATGTATATCTGCATGTGCGTCAGTGTGTGTATCTTTGTGTATGTGTATCACAGTGTGTGCGTGTGTGGCAGTGTATGTGTATATGTGCATATATCTCAGCATTCAAACACCAACACTACACACAAATAAACACCTGCATGCAAACAACAACACTACATACAAACACACACCTGCATTCAAATGTCAACACTACATACAAACACACCTCTGTATCAGACACCAAAATTATATATAAACACACACCTACGTTCAAAAACCAACACTACACATAAATGCATGCTTGCATTCAAATGCAAACACTACATACAAACACACCGCTACAATCATACAAACATACTCCATACAAACACATGCTTACAGTCAAACACACAAATACTGCTCCATGCTAAATACAATCCTGCAAGCATGGGGAATCGGTAGAGCCCCAGCTTTCAAAGCATTGTTGAAGTTGCACGACAGATGGGGATCTATCTTTTAGCCATCCTGTGTACATACACAGACCGTCATACAGAGACATACAGTATGTATGTCTCTGTATGACTGTGTGTATTATTCAAAAGGAATAAACGCAGGCAACACTCCAATAGTACGGCTGGTATATTTATTGATAGGTGAACCACCCCAAAGAAAGTGCGTCGTTTCGGCTCAGCAGAGCCTTATTGCATGAGCTGAAACATCACACTTTCTATGGGGTGGTTCACCTACCAATAAATATACCATCCTTACTATTGGAGTGTTGCCTGCGTTTATTCCTATTGAAGACTTTACTGGTGGATCCAGCGATGTCTGCCTGACACGGAGCATCCACCACTGTTGATGGCCGGAGCATTTACACGGTATCAGTGTGCAGGGTTCTTTGTTTGTCTGTGTATGTATGTTTCTGTATGCCTATCTCTATGTTTCTTTATGTCTGTCTGTATTTCTGTGAGGGCCTGTGTCTGTATGAATGTATGTCTGTGTTTGTATGACAATGCACCTGTATGTGTAGATTGTATGACTGTGTTTGTTTGTGTGCCTTTTATGACTGTGTGTCTGTATATCTTTGTGACTGTGTGCCTGAAAAATTATGTCTGTGTGCTTGTATGGTTGTGTGTCTGTATGTTTGTGTATTTGTGCATGTATGTATTTTTGCCTGTATCTATGTCTATGTGGAAGAAAAAGAGAGATAGATAGGGGCTGGCGGGGAAGTAAGAAATACATAAGAGGTGTTGTAGGAGACACACTAAAGGGGGGTGTAAGGCACAAAGGGGCCAAAGGGATAAGACATTCAAGAGAGTGGATATGCAACACTAATGGGGGTAAGAAATTCAAAAGGGGGCTACGAGACACAGAGGTGAAGATGCATTGTATTTTTTTTTTTTTTGGGGGGGGGGCGTCAAAATGCATCTTCGCTTCGTGTAGTCAAAAAATCCTAGCACCGCCCTGCTAGTGGAGCCAAACTGCAGCCCATCATCATCCATCTGCTTGTAAGTAGGCAATCTAGTATATTATTAGTGACACTAATCTATAATGTACCTCACATTAAAGGGACACTATAGCTTAATGAAGTGGTTCTGGTGTCTATAGCTGGTCCCTGCAGGCTTTTTAATGTAAACACACACTGTGTGCAGCACTGGCGTTAGTTCATATGGGTGGGGCATTGTGATGTCACATGGGGGGGCAGCAAATTTTTATTTTGTCTAGGGCGGCAAAAATCCTTGCACCGGCACTGATCCTGGGCAGGTGCACCAGTCTACTGGTGACCCACAGGAGGGGAGTGCACTGATTGCACTGCACTCTCCTCCTGTCCAGCCCCATCTTTACCGCAGTGCAAGTGCCCTCTGCCCCTAATTTACAGTGGCTCACACTCACAACAAGCAGTGCCTGGAGCCGTGAAGGAGCGGGTATGGCAAAGAGCTACTGATTAGCATAACATCAATATCCGTTATAAAACCAGGAAAAGGTGGGCATGGATGGTGAACTGATTTGGTGGTGCAATGGGCCACTTGACTGGTTTTGCCCCCCAGGCCTAAGGCTGCCAGCCCTCCCCTGGTGCCCAGTTTGTCTATAACAATTCCTAAATCCTTCTTGTGTGTTATCCCTAATTCACTACAATTTGAGGTGTAAGTTGCTTGTGCATTATTTACCCTGAAGTGCATAACTTTGCATTTTTCTACAATAAGCTTCACTGCTGTTTGATTGTCCAGTCCCTCAATATAGCCAAATGCCTCTGCAGCAAAGCAGTATCCTGCTCACATTGAATTACTTTATAGAGTTTTGTGTAATCTGCATACACTGAAACATGACTTTCAATGCCTATTTCCAGATCATTTATAAATATGTTAAATAGAAGTGGTCCCAGAACAGAACTCTGAGACACACCACTTACCACTTTTGTCCAGATTGAACATTTACCATTAATGACAACTCTCTGTACTCTACCTTTCAAGGGACTATGTATTGTTATGAATACAAATCTGTATTCCTAACACTATAGAGTCCTCTGGTCCTTCCTGCCTTGCGCCCCTGTAGTTAAGTAAAAGTTTAGGCAAATTAGCAGATTCCAGCGCCAATGTCCTTTGGCACTAGGTCAGCACTCCATCTTCTCCAATGTCATTCGACAGAAGAGGTTAATGCACATGTGCTGCAAGAGTACTAGGCCCTCCCTATAGGAAAGCATTGCTTCAATGATTTTACTCACAATGGATGTCCTCATGCAGACCGTGAGGACCTCCAGCATCAGTTAGGCTATCAAAAGTCTGTTACACGCACACTGACACACAAATACACATGCTGACACACAGATACACACACTGACAGATACACTAACACAGATACACATATTGGCAGATACACAGATATGCACACTAGCACATAGAAACATAGAATGTGACGGCAGATAAGAACCATTCGGCCCATCTAGTCTGCCCAATTTTCTAAATTCTTTCATTAGTCCCTAGCCTTATCGTATAGTTAGGATAGCCTTATGCCTATCCCACACATGCTTAAATTCCTTTACTGTCTTAACCTCTACCACTTCAGCAGTAAGGCTATTCCATGCATCCACTACCCTCTCAGTAAAGTAATACTTCCTGATATTATTTTTGAACCTTTTGTCCCTCTAATTTAAGACTGTCCTCTTGTTGTGGTAGTTTTTCTTCTTTTAAATATAGTCTCCTCCTTTACTGATAGTCTCCTCCTTTTACATATACA